GTCTAATTCTTTATATACATTTGATGGCATCTCTAGAGCTAAAGACACATAGACAGATCTTGATATACCTTCTGCTTTGGACAGTAAAGCCCTACCATTCAGGGATAAATCTCTTTGAAGCCATATATTAAATCTAGTCTTAGTTTTATTTATTATGGGTTGAAAATTAAGCTTATTGCGTTCATTTTCTTCTTTATGAATGACAACCCCTAAATATTTAACTGTATCTTTAATAGGGATACTATGTAATTCTGTCAAATTGCATGATTTAATTGGAAATAACACAGATTTATTAATATTCATTTTAAGACCTGAAACTAAGGAAAATTCTTTTACACAGTTAACTGCTTTTAATATTTCTAAATTATTTTTAAGAAAAATAGTAGTATCATCTGCTAGTTGGGATAATTTAAATTCCTTTCCAAATACATGTATACCTTCAAAATCTGCTTTTTTAATATATAGGGCCATAATTTGTGTGACTAATAAAAACAAAAATGGAGATAAAGGGCTACCCTGTTGTATACCTCGATTAATCTCAAATCTACCACTTGTACCTGCAGATAATTTAACTGAGCTATTGCATCCATTGTAAATAGTTCTAACAGCTTTTTCAAAGTATTCACCAAAACCAAAATGTTTAATGCATCTAAACAGAAACTCATGACTTACAGTATCAAATGCTTTATAAAAGTCTATAAATAAAATAAAAGAGTCATTTGGTATATAATAATTATAATCAATCATATCTAAAATTAACCTAATATTATTACTTATATGTCTTCCGGTCATAAAACCAGATTGCTCTTCTTCAATAATCTCCTCCAGACCCTTTTTTAATCTTCTTGCAAAAACAAGAGCAAAAAGTTTTGCATCGTTATTCAGAAGAGTAATCGGTCTCCAGTTATCAATATAAAGTTTATCCTTATTGGGTTTAGGGATTATTGTTATAAGACCTTGTTTAAGAGTTGCTGGTAGTTCCCCACAAGTAATGGATTCTTTAAACATTGCAACTAAAAAAGGAGATAACTGTGTTATAAACATTTTGTAAAATTCACTAGTCAATCCATCGTTTCCTGGAGATTTATTATCCTTCAATCCCGAAATACATTTATTTATCTCTTGTAAATTAATTTCTTGGTCACAAAGTAATTTAAAGTCTTCTTGTATAATTTTGGTTGTATCAGATATTTTACTTAATAACAGCTCAGCTTCTTTTTCATTGTAAGGTTCTGAAGTATATAGATTCTTATAAAATTGTGTGACATACTCAGCAATTTCTTTATTACTTTCACATATACTGTTATTAATCATGAGTTTACTTACAGAAGACATTTCGTTATTACGTTTTTCTAAATTAAAAAAATATTTAGTATTTTTTTCTCCTTGTTCAATCCACTTTTGTCTACTTCTTACAAAGGCACCTTTGGCTTTGTCTAAATAAATTGTATCTAACTGTAGCTGTAAAGAAGTTAGTTGTTTGATTTCTTCATTTGTTAGATTTTTTTTACTTGTTAATTTCAAAATTTCTTCTATTAAATTGTTTTCTTTTGCTTTTTTAACTTTAGCAATATTTTTCCCTATATTTATGGCTATATTTCTTATTTCAAATTTCATTAATTCCCAATTGTGACCAAATTTTTTAACAATACTTGCTTTTTTCCAATATTTTTGTATAATATCAATGGACTGCTTTTTAAAGCATTCATTTTCTAACAAGGTTTTATTTAATTTCCAATAGTTTGTTTTAGAAATGGTTGTTCTTTTTCCATCTTTGTTCATCTTAATCATTATAGCCTTATGATCTGTTAATACTGAAGTATCAATTTTCACTAATTCAACATCATCTTTATTTATTGCAGAGATTAACCAGAAATCAATACGTGACTGTTTTGTCAGGTCATTATTAGTCCAAGTATACATTCTTTGATCTGGGTAAGTATATCTCCAGATATCTAACAAATCCATTCTCGCACATACACTTTTTAATACAGAGGTTTTTTTATTTTTTTGGGGGGGCCAACGATCAACTTCTTCATCCATAACAGTATTAAAATCCCCACCCCAAATAATTGTTGCATTAGGATATTTAGAACTTATTTGATTAATTTTACTCTCAATTGTTGTAAACAAGTGATTATTATTTTGCTTATTATTTGTGGCATAAACATTTACTATAATAAATTGGGAAAGATCTATACTAACATGTAAAATTAACCATCTTCCTTCCGTATCTATTTGCTTACCGAGAACTTGACCTTTAAATTGACCTTTTAATACGAGTACCCCAGCTGAATGGTTAGTACCAAATGAAAACCAAACATCATTCCCCCACTGACTCCTCCAAAAGTTTACATCTGCTTCACAAGCATGAGACTCCTGAATAAAATAAAAATCTGCACCTTTACTCTGACAAAACAAAAATAAAGATTTCCTCTTCAACAGGTTTCTTATACCTCTGGCATTAATCGAAAAAATTGAAATTGACATGAACAATAACCGATTGCAATTAACAAATTAACGTATGCTGAGTGCTCTTAACAAGAACATAAAGTGTCACCCACTGAAGCTACATGTTGCATTTATCATCAACAATAAGTGCATTAACCCATCTTCTCTTAATTTCAGTAGTAATTCAAGAAGTCATGTAAAGTAAATGAACAGCCAATATCAAGTCTCTGACTATACTTTTGATGACATTTGAAATCACTAAATGATCAGCCTTTGATTTCTTTTCCATTCACAAATGCTTTGTTACCTACTAAATAAGCCTTCTCCCCATTTTTCCTTGCCTTTTCAACAAACGGCCACAGACGAGCACGCGTTGCCCTGTCATCAGCTGTTAGGTCTTCTTTCACCTGAAGATTCATGCTTTTGAGAAACTCGTTGTTCTTGGCGCCCTTCCAGAAAGTGTCTCTAGCTGATCTAGACATAAATCTGACGATCACAGGTCTTGGAAACTTGTTTTTTCCTCCGCTGTCTATTCTTCCAATACGATGAGCCACGTCTACTGCTACTCTGACTTCTTCTCCATCGCTGCCTGGAATTACTGCACGGCAAATTGTTTCCACTTTTGCTTTGACGTTTTCCTCCCGCTCTTCCTTCATTCCATAGATCCGAAGATTGTACCGGCGGCTATATCGATCCGTATCGTTCACTTTTTGCTCCATTTCACTGACTTTCTTTTGCATTTCTTCCACTCGTATCTTCATTGTAGCGTTTTCTTTTTTCAGATCAACTACTTCTTGATGACAGAATTCCAGCGATTTTTTAAGACCCTCGATTTGCATCGTATTGTGTTTCACAGCTTCATCAGTAATATCTGCTCTTTCGTTGATTTTGGCAGAAATAACACGGATTATATTGTCCTGTATTTCAGTCAGAGAAGGATCAGAATTTACTTGTATCTGTTCTTTGCGTGCTTTCTTTGAGAGTTTTTTGTCCGGTGTGTTGGGACTAGAATCACACACCCCATTACCATCCTTATACGCTTTACAGGAGTATGAGTGTGTGTCTTGAATAACTCTCTTATCTTTGACAGTATTTACCTCCATTTCTTCCGTGTTACACAGTTCACTCGTTGAGTTTGTCTCCATGATAATATTGAGTTCCGAAATCTGCACTTAACAACAAAAACAGGTTCGTAAAATCCTATTTGTAAACTATATACATGCGGTAACCAAATATTATGGCAACTGTATTACATAATCTTTTCTAACTGTGTGTGACAAAACTTAGGACGTTCTTCAAAAGCACAGCACATCCGCTCTCTCCGCCATCTTGGCTTCCGACCCACTCTGTCTTCTCTGAGGTGTGCGGTCGGCTGCTGTCGCGTCATACAGGTGGATGCTACACTGGTGGTAGATGAGGAGATTGCTACCCAATAAATATCAAACTTGCTAAATTTAATAACAATATTTCCCCTAAATGCTCAGTTTGTACTCAATATGATGAAACACTAAACCATTCATTTTGGGTGTACTTACTGTAAAGTGTTTTGGGTTGACTTTTCCAATTTCATTATATATATATATATATATATATATATATACTCCAAGCTAAAACCAAAAGTTGGCACGTTGAACGTAAATGAAAAGCTTGTAACCACCATTGACTTCCACAGTAGAGAAAAGAAATGGAAGTCAATGGTTACAGGTTTCCATCATTTTTCAAAATAACCTATTTTGTGTTTAACAGAAGAAAGAAAGTAAAAGAACATGTGAAAGGTGAGCAAAAGATGACAGAATTGAAACATTTTTGGGTAAACTATCCCTTTCAATATGTTAATATATACAAATAGACATTTTTAACAGGGATGAGTTTTTTATTAAAAAAATATATATATATATATATATACACATTACAACCTCAAGCCTGTCTTAATCTTAAACATACACACACAGAAATAGCATAATTTCACACTACTTTCCATAAATGTAACACATTGATTACTTTTTAAGTGACTTAAGAAATTAATTTATTACTTTTAAAAGTAATAACACATATACACTTATTGGCCACTTTATTAGGTACATCTTATTAGTATTGGTTTCGACCCCGTTTTACCTTCATCCTCCGTGGCATAGATTCAACAAGGTACTGGAAATATTCCTCAGAGATTTTGCTTCATATTGACATGACAGCATCACGCAGTTGCTGCAGATTTGTCGGCTGCACATCCATGATGCCAATCTCCCATTCCACCACATCCCAAAGGTGTTCTATTGGATTGAGCTCTGGAGATTGTGTGGGCCATTAGGCCATGGAGCAATCACTCGCTTTTTTTAATGTCTAATAATCTTGTTTAATCCCGCCCCTTTTCACAGCGCCGTACGACAGAATTTCATACACACAAACTCTAACGTGACCGCAGCTTAAGAGCTTGATTAGCTATCCCAGGTGTGTCTGACTGAGGTAGGAAGTAAACTTTGCAGGACACCGGCCCTCCAGAACAGAGTCTGGACATCCCTGCTTTAGGCAAATCACTGAGAAAGCACCAATCAGAGGCCTCAATTTTATGACACCATCATGTAGACTTCTTACCAAGTATTTTAAAACTACAAGCCCAAATACAAATGATAAAATACTATTAGAAATACTGTCCATCCCTGCTTCTCAGTCTAAAAAGAGTTCGTTTAATTGTTCATCATTTCTCTGGTTTGCGGTATTTGCTCTGCATCCACACTCTGTGCATCAGTATCTTCTTCCCTCTGTTCACCTGCAGCCTCCTGTCCTCCAGATTCTGAAGCTCCTCCAATCCAGCAGCAGAAAACAGACCATGAACCTCGTCTGTGGACAGATCAGGATTTACAAGTAAGTGTTTATGCCAGACTCAAATGGTTCTGTATTAAGATTTTCGACCCTTGTGTGCTGTTGGGGATGTTTTCATGCACTCTGGAGGGATTATGAGTCTTAATTTGGCCACAACTTTCTCTGTGTTTCAGCAAATTGATTTTTGACACACATTTTGGGAAACTGCTTTAGAAAACTCAACAATACACTCTGGGCAAATTGACTACCCTTTCATTATGTTGGTGGCTTTTTTTGCCCCATTGACTTCCATTGGAATTGCATGTTTGTATTGCAAAGAAATGATACAATATTAATATACATTTTTTATTGTTGCTGGTTTGCTCTGAAGAGGTACATTTTAAAATGTATGCTACTGATCATCAGTTGCAGTGCAAAAAAAAAGCTTAGTTTCTGGCTTTATATGGAGCTATATAGAGAGTACAGTGTGTGAGAGACACCTTTGCAAATTTACCTTGATTTGCCTGGGAAAATCTAAATACGCAGCTCAGCTCTCAGAACATAGTAACCATAGTCATTGTATTTATGCATGCATACTATAATTTGCTGTTGTTGTGAATTTCTCTAGTCTGGCTCGCGGCACCAAACTGTTGTGAAATTCTAAGACGAGCCCAAAAAAAAAAAACAGGGAAAACTTTTGGTATCTTCAAAGCAGAATCCTTTTAATAAGAAGAACTCGGCGTCGCTGTGGCGTCATCGAAAGAAACTCTCAATTGGTACAACAGACACTTACATAAATACATTTGATACATGTAGGTGGGGACAGTCTAAGGGTGCTTTCACATCTGTAGTTCGCTTTATTTGGTCCGGACCCAGCGCAATAAATGATACACTGTTGCATTTTCTGCCGGCCTTGGGTCATTTTCACACCACACTGCTGGCTTTGGTCCGAACCAGTTGAAAAGAACAAAAATCCAGTCATGTGACAAAATCCACATCTCTCATTGGCCAGATGTTGTTAAACATAGTTCCTAAACTGCTTATCGATTGGTCAGATTTCACGTGCGGGAAAATGCCAGTGAACACCCGCAGGTAAACAAAACCTTTTACTCTGGAGGGACGACTGCGCTGGCTGACTGTATCCCTGCTTTAGACAAACTATACATTACGAAAATGAAGTGCGGCCGCGGCTGGAAAACAGTGTTTAATGCATCACTCGTCACTTCAGGAGGAGCTGTGAATTAATTTAGCTAAACTGCGACATGGTCATTTTGCGGAAATATTACCAACGATCCATCAGGTAATGTTTCCCCTCTCTCTCTCTCTGTTGGTAAATCGCTGTCAACAAATATTTTTCCTCCATATCCCATAATGCACAGCGCATCGGCCTACGGCAGCTGAATTAGTCCAAAACGCGCAGTACTTTTTCCTGTTGGACCTGTTTTAGTACGGATCATATTCTCACCACAAACGAACCGCTCCAGGGTTCATTTGAAAGCGTACCGAGACCATCTCTTCAAGCAGGTCTCGGTATGCTTATTTGGTCCGCTTTTGGTGCGCACTCGAGTACGATTGCTGCATTCTCACCTGCCCAAACGAACCGCACCAAAAGGGGAAACGAACTCTAGTGCGATTCAATCGAACTAAATAAGGCAGGTGTGAAAGCACCCTTAAACAAAGCATGCAAATAGTGTTGTTGTCGGCAGGGTAACATGCCTTTGCAGGCCTGATCTCATCAGCATATAAGTACCCATTCACCATACATTTAACATTAAAACAGTGTGCAAATGATGTTCTGGAGACAGAAACCGGACGATCAGTTGACCGACTGGAGAAAACGATAGACACAGCCGTGCTGTAAAACTGACAATTTGCATTACTTTGGAGACCGTCAGGGCTCAGGAAACCAAGACATTTTAAGGTCTGTCACACTCTAAAAACAACTTTTCAGTTATATACAGATAGTATAAATTTATATTCCCACACTGTTTTACTTCATAGAACTCCATATAAAACCCAGAAACCTGTTTCTGCACAGTTCTGGTGCCAACTGATGATCAACAGTAAAAATAAAAAAAATTTCCCTCTTCCCAGCAGAGAAAACCACCAACAATCAAGAATGCATGAGTATATGGTGTCATGGAGTTTCGATTTAAAAATGTCTGAAATCTGCTGAAATGTTTTTACCTTTAGTAAAGAAATACACACAGGTGCCATCCTGTCGAGAATAGAAGTTTTCAGACAAACACTGACCTGTAGAAAGTCAATCAGAAATGGTTGTAAATCAAAAAGACACAATAGATCACAATTAAGTATTGTAAGTACACAATTAAGCATATTAATTTTAATAAAATACATTAAAAAAAAAAAAAAAAAAAAAAGAGTACTTTCATGCATTCCCGGCAAAAAGGATATCAAATCTGTCACTGGGGCAGTCCCCTTTTAAAATATAACTTTTTTTAGGTACTAATATGTACTTTTAAAATACTATATGGAAGCTTCACATACTAATATGTACACCTAAAATACCTATATGGATCATTTAGGTTATGTTTATGCCCTTTAAGTACACAAGTGTGGCTTTTAAATAGGTACCACCCCAGTGACAGCTTTTGTACCTTCATTTTTGAGAGTGTGATGTTAAAATCTGTTTATGTTTTGACATATAGGTTTAACAAATTCCAGTATTTTAAATTGCGCAAACTAATGTACAGTTGAAGACCAAATTATCATTGATATTCAAATATTTACTAAGTGATTTTACAGAGTGATAATATTTCCTATTACATTTTTGCATTTGGAGAAATCCTTCACAGCAGACACTGGATGTCAACATGACATCAGATTGAAGTTGTACCTCAGTCTCATGGGGACAGTGCATTTTGTTTGGAAATGAAAAATCGTGTTGACGTTAACGTACAACCTAAAATCAAGCAAATATCAACGTCTAATGGTGTTACAGCTTGACGTTGTGTGGACGTTACAACTATGACGTCTGTCAGATGTTGGATTTTGGTTGTTATACCTGATCAATACACATCAGTATTTGACATCAATATGATGTTGGTTTAAGATATTGGCTCGACATTGGATTTTGCTTACTTTCCAACACAACCTAAAATCAACCAAATATTAACGCCTAATGATGTTACAGCTGGATGTTGTGTGGACTTTACCACTATGACGTCTATAAGACTTTGGGTTTTGTCTGCCATACCTGATGAATAAATGTCATTATTTGACGCCAATATGACGTTGGTTTAATATGTTGGCTCAACTTTGGATTTTGGTCACTTCATAACACAATCCAAAATCAACCAAATATTAACGTCTAATGATGTTACAGCTTGATGTTAGGTGGATGTTACCGCTATAACGTCTATCAAACGTTGGATTGTGGTTGCCATACTTGACAAATAAATGTTAGTATTTGATGACAATATGCAGGTTTAAGATGTTAAGATGCTGGTTAGACAATGTCTAATGTTACAGCTTGACGTTGTGTGGAGGTTACCACTATGACGTCTATTAGACGTTGGATTTTGGTTGCCATACCTGATAATTAAATATCAGTATTTGACGTCAAAATCGCGTCGGTTTATTATGTTGGCTCGACGTTCCAACACAACCTAAAATCAACCAAATATCAACGTCTAATGATGTTACAGCTTGATGTTGTGTGGACATCACCACTATGACATCTATTAGATGTTGGACTTTGGTTGTCATACCCGATGAATAAATGTCAGTATCTGACGCCAATATGACATTGGTTTAAGATGTTGACTCAATGTTGGATTTTGGTCACTTTTCAACACAATCCAAAATCAACCAAATATTAATGTCTAATGTTACAGCTTGACGTTGTGTGGAGGTTACCACTATGACGTCTATTAGACGTTGGATTTAGGTTGCCATACCTGATAATTAAATGTCAGTATTGGGCGTCAAAATCACATTGGTTTAAGATGTTGGCTCGAAGTTGGATTTTGGTCACTTTCCAACACAACCTAAAATCAACCAAATATCAACGTCTAATGATATTACAGCCTGATCTTGTGTGGACTTTATCACTATGACGTCTATTAGACGTTGAATTTTGGTTACCATACTTGATGATTAAATGTTAGTATTTGACCCAATATGTTGGTTTAAGATGTTGGCTCGACGTTGGATTTTGGTCACGTTCCAACACAACCTAAAAATCAACCAAATATCAACGTCTAATGAAGTTGCAGCTTGATGTTGTGTGGACATCACCACTATGACGTCTATTAGACGTTGGATTTTGGTTGCCATACTTGATGATTAAATGTTAGTATTTGACCCAATATGCTGGTTTAAGATGTTGGCTCGACGTTGGATTTTGGTCACGTTCCAACACAACTTAAAATCAATCAAATATCAACGTAATTTGATGTTGTTTATTAGACGTCAAAATAACGTTGTTCATAGATGCTGGTTAGACATAAAATTTTCACCTGACATCACAACCTAAATCTAACCTAATGTTAATGTCTTATGACGTTGTGTTCCTGCTAGGTAATATCTTTTAACATAAATAAACTTTACAAAGTAAAACTACTAAGTTCAGTTATTTCCCTATTGTCGTGATCAAGTCATTAGTGTAATTAGTTTCAAGCTTCCACTTCAAACCCAAGACATATTAAAGGAAAAGACTGACGCAGAGTTGACAAATCAATCAAGATGATCACCTTTCTTAAATCTGAGCTGTGACAGATCGTATCTGCCGTAGTCTCTGAACAGCACCATTCCTCCCTGCTTCAGGAGTCCCGCTAAACCCCTCACCACAGCCTGAGCTCTGAAAAAGCAAACCAGATGAGTTACACAGGGTTTAAGACTACACACCTAAGATTTCTTTTATTGTCAACATTTCCCTCTGTCAATCCAATCCCAGGCATGCTGAGAACTATATACTGTATAGGTAGTTACACCAATACAATACCTTTATGTTGTCCCAACACAAATCACTTAAGGTAATTTAATGTTTATCAAATATAAGTGAATTGTTACAAAACAATTAAGTTGTCCAAAAAAACACAAGAATTGTGCTGATTTAGCTCCTTTTAAATAAGTAGCTGGAAGGAGTAGCAATAATTTCTGATACATAAAACAATAAAAAAAAAACTTAAAATTATTGAGAACATCAGTAATGGATGCTGTGGACGGACGCTGGTCAAACAAACCGCCTATAATGTCAGATGCGTGCTGTGCCAGTGTGAAAATGTGACTGTGTGTCAGCTTGACCTTTATTACCGTGCTGGGTGGATGGCAGAGAGCACAAAGACCACCAGAATAATGTCCAAACTCTCAGGAGGGAAGGGAAACGGGGACGTTGCGTCACAAATGTCCCGTACGAATGCGTGACACACTGCAGGGTCATAGTCTGGATGCTTCTGCAAAGGGAAAACGTGTTAATGTCCTCAAACCAGCAGACATTTTACTGTTAGTAAGTGTGAATTTACACCGTGGACATTTTAACACACTTAAATAACAAATAAGTTTGATTTATTGTAAAGGAACGTTTTTTTTAGAAATATGCTTATTTTACAACTCCTTATAGTTTAACAGTTGAGTTTTACCATTTTTGAATCCATTCAGATCGTCTTCGCACTTTTAGCTTAGCATAAATCATTGAATCTGATTAGACCATTAGCATCTCATTTAAAAATTACCAAAGAGGTTTTGATCATCTTCCTATTCAAAGCTTGACCCTTCTGTAGTTACATTGTGTAGTAAGCCTGAAGAAAAATTTGCTATTTTCTAGGTTGATATGGCTATTGTAGGAACTATTGTCATTCCTGCATAATAATTGAGAAACTTTGTATCCATGGCTGTAGCTGTTAAATTATGATGTGATTTAAAACAGGTGATGTCAACGGGTAATTGTAATTTTGATTTGGTACAAAAAACGCATCCAAGAAACGTCTAGTCCTTTAGAAGAAAATATGGGCCGAGGATTGCCAGTTCGCCAACAAATGAGTGAGGAAATGATTAAAATGTTTAAAAACAATGTTCCTCAAAGAAAAGAGAGAAAGACATTAGGATATTTCACCTTCAACAGTGCAGAACATCATTAAAAGATTCAAGAAATCTGGAGGAATTTCAGTGCGTAAAGGACAAGAGCGCAAGCCTAAGCTAAACTACCATGGTCTCCAATCTCTTGGTTCATTGCATTCATCTATAAGCAATATCACCACATTGGCTCAGGGCTACTTTGACAAACCTTAGTCAAGTACCACAATACGTAGTTACAGGGCTCGAAATTGCACACCCAAAAGTGCTCAACCAAGACCTGGAGTGGATTTAAAAATGGTAAAACTCAACAATTTAACACTAGGGGAATTATAAAATTAGCCTAATTTCAAAAGGTCAATGCTCATGTACTTTAATATAAACTGAGGAATAGTAAAATGTTCAGGGATTCAAACCCTATTCAAGGTCCAGAACACCAGAGATTTTCACAATTGCTTTAAAATACCCTAAAAGTAAAATGATTAGTCAATTTGTATAGTTTTTTAAAGCAGCAGAATGCATTTTTCAAAATCAAAGCATGACATGCTAATGGTCTAATCCGATTCAATGATCCATGCTAAGCTAAGCTAAAAGTGCTCCCGCCAGACCGCGAGATCGGCTGAATGGATCCATGAATGGTCAAACTCAAATATTTAACACTAGCAGAGTTGTAAAATTAGCCTTTTTTTAAAGTAGACTGTTTCTTTAGGTGGTAAAAAGTCAAAACTTATGTACTTGAATATAAAGTAGTAATAAAATAATAAAATGTACAGTGATTCAAACCATATTTAAGCTCCAGAACACCCGAGTCTTTCACAATCTCTTTAGAAATCACAAAAAGTTATTAGTTAACTAATATTGTTTTATAAAGCAGCAGAATGCATTTTTCTAAATTAAAGAACGAGATGCTAATGGTCTAATCTGGTTCAATGATCTATGCTAAGCTAAGCTAAAAGTGCTAACCCAAGACCAAGAAATCGGCTGTGTATTAAAAAATGGTAAAAGTCAACAGTTTAACACTAGGGGGGTTGTAAAATTTGTCTTTTTTTTTTTTTTTAATTAGGAAGGAATGTAATTATACAGGGATTCAAACCGCATTCAAGGTCCAGGATACCATAAAGACATTAATTAAAATCACAACAGCTAAAAACGATTAGTTAATCAGTATAGGTTTGGATGCGTTTTTCAAAATCAAGGCATATATTAATGGAAAAGAAATGCCATCGCTGTGGACGGGCTGTGGGTTTCACTTCCCCCGCCATTCAATATGTTCTGCAGTTGGCATCTGATGAAGGTCTCTGCATACCAAAAAGCATCAAACACCAGGAGACAGAGCCAAACTCCCACACCCCTGATCAGCCGCCATTAATATGGATGGAGAGCAGGATATGTTCCCCTCCCCGTCTTTATGCTTTCTCAGAGGCTTTCAGTAAGGTATATCTTGGCTCTGTTTGATGCTGGCAGGTATAATTATGATCTGAGGAGAGACGCGTGACTGTGTTTTACCTGGATGAGCTCAATCGCTCGAGATGAGAAGTCACAGCAGTACAGAAACGCCTTACTGCCTCTGAAATATTAAACAAAACACAAATATGGCTGCTTACCTGCTACTTTCTGTTAGTGTTTCTATTACACATTTATGATTTCTTTCATTATTTGAGAATTTAATATGTATTGTGGGATGTATGTACTGTCAGCCACTTATTACAGCAGTATATATACACAGAATATTAATATTAGGGTTGTCTTTGAGAATCACGTCTGTTGAAATAGCCATATCAGAGGTTAGTGGAAGTCAGAATCAGCTCATTGTGCCTCAAAACACTGAAAACCTGTTGATGATCATTAAATTAAGTGTATGAATTTGTTTCAATTAAGCATTCATGAAAAAACAAAAAAAGAAAGCTAGTACAGTACCCAAAGCTCATAACGATAGGTGAGAGTAGGAACGTGGATTGAATGGTAAATCTAAAAAAAAAACTGTAATTCACGAGCATAACAATTGTGTATGTACAACAAGTGCGTTTACATAGAAAAAACAATGGAAAAGTAGCGCATTTGAACGCCATCTTAAAAGCATAGCATTCATGTGCGCGGCGCTTCAAAAGATGTAATTCGCAAACATTACGAATCATGAACGTCCATCAAGTGCATTTACATAGAAAAACAATGGAAAAGTAGCGCATTTGAACGCCATCTTAAAAGCATAGCATTCATGTGCGCGGCGCTTCAAAAGACGTAATTCACAAACATAACGAATCATGACCGTCCATCAAGTGCATTTACATAGAAAAACAATGGAAAAGTAGCGCATTTGAACGCCATCTTAAAAGCATAGCATTCATGTGCGCGGCGCTTCAAAAGATGTAATTCGCAAACATAACGAATCATGAACGTCCATCAAGTGCATTTACATAGAAAAACAATGGAAAAGTAGCGCATTTGAACGCCATCTTAAAAGCATAGCATTCATGTGCGCGGCGCTTCAAAAGATGTAATTCGCAAACATAACAAATCATGAACGTCCATCAAGTGCATTTACATGGAAAAACAATGGAAAAGTAGCGCATTAGAACGCCATCTTAAAAGCATAGCATTCATGTGCGCGGCGCTTCAAAAGACGTAATTCGCAAACATAACGAATCATGAACGTCCATCAAGTGCATTTACATAGAAAAACAATGGAAAAGTAGCGCATGAGAACGCCATCCTAAAAGCATAGCATTCATGTGCACGGCGCGTCAAAAGACGTAATTCACAAACATAACGAATCATGAACGTCCATCAAGTGCATTTACATAGAAAAACAATGGAAAAGTAGCGCATTTGAACGCCATCTTAAAAGCATAGCATTCATGTGCGCGGCGCTTCAAAAGACGTAATTCACAAACATAACGAATCATGACCGTCCATCAAGTGCATTTACATAGAAAAACAATGGAAAAGTAGCGCATTAGAACGCCATCTTAAAAGCATAGCATTCATGTGCGCGGCGCTTCAAAAGATGTAATTCGCAAACATAACGAATCATGAACGTCCATCAAGTGCATTTACATAGAAAAACAATGGAAAAGTAGCGCATTAGAACGCCATCTTAAAAGCATAGCATTCATGTGCGCGGCGCTTCAAAAGACGTAATTCGCAAACATAACGAATCATGAACGTCCATCAAGTGCATTTACATAGAAAAACAATGGAAAAGTAGCGCATTTGAACGCCATCTTAAAAGCATAGCATTCATGTGCGCGGCGCTTCAAAAGATGTAATTCGCAAACATAACGAATCATGAACGTCCATCAAGTGCATTTACATAGAAAAACAATGGAAAAGTAGCGCATTAGAACGCCATCTTAAAAGCATAGCATTCATGTGCGCGGCGCTTCAAAAGACGTAATTCGCAAACATAACGAATCATGAACGTCCATCAAGTGCATTTACATAGAAAAACAATGGAAAAGTAGCGCATTTGAACGCCATCTTAAAAGCATAGCATTCATGTGCGCGGCGCTTCAAAAGATGTAATTCGCAAACATAACGAATCATGAACGTCCATCAAGTGCATTTACATAGAAAAACAATGGAAAAGTAGCGCATTAGAACGCCATCTTAAAAGCATCTATCTATCTATACTTTTAAATAAACTCCTACCAACAGCCTTTCTCAAGCTAGTCTCAAAGTTTGTCTTGACGAACTTTAATAATCGTACAAATATTATTCGTACAAATATTATATAATAGTTAATTCATTTTAGCTTTAACACACCTCTTTTCTAGACCGGAACATCCATGACTCCTCAAAGCGGCGCAAATGGATGTACTATTTAAACAACGTCGTGCAAAACAAAAAATTAGCCTTGCGTTGGTCTGAAAAAAGCAACACATTACGCTTTACACTTCTGCACCGGGTGTATGATCGGGTCCTCAGTGTGCAAAGTCTCTGTGCATGATTCTTTTTTCAGATCTGAGTACCAAAAAACGCTTCGGAAATTTTCCGACTTCAGTCCCTTGAGCAAGAGTATGGGCTTAGAGAATGGGTCACGACTTTCACTTTCAAAATAAAGTGGTCTTACCTGATGGTGTTGATGATGGGAAACACGCTGTTACCTGCACCACAGCCCACCTGCAGAAAACACAAAACACTGTACAATAAAGTCCAGTCCCTAATCAATGAACAGGAATTATGTTGTGGAAATGCAGAAATTGTGCTTGCTTGTTTGTATTTAGACTGCAGCACCTCTAGTATCCTAAAAGCAGCATGATGTCCAGGGTATGTGTCCTTATAATCGTGCTTTTCTCTGTTCACTGACTCTAAGCCTTGCTCCTGCTCCGCCATTAACATCCCGCCCGTGTCTGGAGGGAGAAGCTCCGGGAATTCAGTGAAGAGCCAATTTCGGTTCCTGAAGAATTTGTTCTGGTGCATCTCGTAAAACTGGTCCCAGTATTTATGAGCTTCTCTGTCATATTTGGCTGATGGGACAAACAACAAGACATCAGAATTAGATATATAATATATATATTTAGGTGACGTAGTGGCGCAGTAGGTAGTGCTGTCGCCTCACAGCAAGAAGGTCGCTGGGTCGCTAATTCGAGCCTCGGCTCAGTTGGCGTTTCTGTGTGGAGTTTGCATGTTCTCCCTGCGTTTGCGTGGGTTTCCTCCGGGTGCTCCGGTTTCCCCCACAGTCCAAAGACATGTGGTACAGGTGAATTGGGTAGGCTAAATTGTCCATAGTCTATGAGTGTGTGTGTGAATGTGTGTGTATGTTTCCCAGAGATGGGTTGCAGCTGGAAGGGCATCCGCTGCGTAAAAAAAAATGTGCTGGATAAGTTGGTGGTTCATTCCGCTGTGGCGACCCCGGATTAATAAAGGGACTAAGCCGACAAGAAAATGAATGAATAAATGAATATATGAATTTAATAAAGTATGCTTAAAGGTCCTATCAAATTAAAAGTAAGTTTTTTAGATTTTAGTATCAGCATTGTTAGGATTAGGATGTCTATAAGCGAATGCGCACCAAAACAGTGGCAAAATTTGCGTTTGGAAGATTTAAAATCAATATAAATGTGTAAAGCTTTGCCTCAATGAATCAACGATTTTATTCACATCACCTCATACTTAAAGAGCCCATATTATGGGTTTTTGAAAATTCCCCTCCATGTAGTGTGTAACACAGCTCTAAGTGAAGTGAAGTATCCAGCTAAGGCTTAAATCTGTAAGAGTACAGTGTTTAAAACGGTTGATTCATCTATAAAAGAGTCGACTCATAGTGCTTCAAACGAGTCGCCTTGATACCGATTCATTAGGTGTTTCGCCATGACGTACGAACGAAACCAAGTTATTCACGTGCACGCGCAAACCCGGGAGATTTCAAACCTGAGGCCCCGCCCTCTGACGCAGAAACTCAGACACACACACAAACACACACCCACAAACACACACACACACAAACATGCCGGTCGATTGAAGTCACACTGCAGATGGATATATCGAGTCTCTACCCAAACATGAAGCCTCAGCATTATAGCCAAGCAGTTGGAAACTACTGGAAACTTCTGGAAACTACATGCTACAAAGAATACTTCATCTGTGTTTGTTAAAGGAAGGATCAGTAAAGAGTAACTTATTGATGGACGTCAGGATTTTTCTTCCTCCATTTCTCAAGTGTAAGTATGTGCGATTAAAGTTGCCTCGTTGACTCTAGCTTGCAAATGTATTTAGTTGTGATTTGTTACTTGTAACCGCGTGTACTGTATCAGGATAACTGGCTATATTCTCATATCGCGTACAAAGTCACTTTAAAAACGCGATGCGTGCTGCGTTAACGGAGCTCCGTGGACGAGGAGTAGTGTGTGTGTCTGTGTGTGCGCGCGCTGTCGTCCGGAGGTGTGTGTGTGTGTGTGTGCGCGCGTTGTCGTCCGGAGCAGGGTTAAGTGCGTGTGTGTGTTTGTGCAATATGTGTGTGTGTGTCTGTGAAAAGAGCAGAGTGAGAAGCTAGGAGATCTCCTCAACTGTTTTTGGAGTTTTTGTTCAATAAAATAGTTAGTCGTCTGTATTTTCAAGTCCATAGTCTGTATTTACATTGACCCACTGGCAGCTAAACTCCACGCCTACACCATCGAGCGTGTATGAACTGTGATTACTTTTATATTGCTGATTAGCTGTTGGGCATTTCACTCTGACTGAAGGCAGTCGACCAATCGCGACAGACTGTCATCGGTCCAATCAGCGCAGATTAGCTTCGCGCTAAGGAGGGGTTTGGGAACAAATGAATCACTGGACGATTCATACAGGAGTCGCTGGGATAATTAGGTAAAAATAAATGCAGATTATAAGACCATGAAAGTGTTTTTTGACCTTGCATGCATATTAAACTGTTGTTGGAGACCCTTACAACCAAGATATGACCCTATTTCATGTATAATATGGGCTCTTTAAATCTTCTAACCAATCAAATGCTCTATACTATCTGACATGCCCCGCCCCCTTCAAGACACTTACTTTGATGCCTTTGAGCTCACTCGCTCTCACTGGCAGAGTGGTGACAAAACGCTAATGGCTGTTTTTTTTTAAAGGGGAGGGGCTACACTATGTCCCACTCTCTTGTCATGTCTCGGTTGAGATTACGTCAAACATCGAATGAAAATGCACATTTCAAACAGTGTTGCCAGATTGGGCTGTTTCAGATTGTACGGGTATAAAATGACATAGGCAGGTATAGAAAATTTGGACCCTTTAACCATTTTAAGGTCAACAGTATTATTCTGCTTAACTTCCATAGCCACAGCCATATCACCCTGTAGCCCAAGACTGGTTACTCACTGAAGTTAAGCCTGTCAGTACCTGGATGGGAGACCACATGGGAAAGCTAGGTTGCTGCTGGAAGTGGTGTTAGAGAGGCCAGCAGGGGGTGCTAGACCTGCGGTCTGTGTGAGTCCTGATGCCCCAGTATAGTCAGTGCTGTCTTTTGGATGAGACATTAAACTGAAGTCCTGATTCTCTGTCATCATTAAAAATTAATTAAGAAATTTAGAAACGAGTTATTAAAACTATCGTGTTTAGATATGTGTTGAAAAATTCTTCTCTCCGTTAAACAGAAATTGGGGTAATTATATAGTGGGGGCTAATAATTCAGGAGGGCTATTAATTCTGACTTCAACTATATATTTGAATCTTGACTTATGAACACTCACACTGCTCTTCGACAGGAATCTTCTCTTCAGAGTTTTCTTCTGCCTTCTGTCGGGCTTTCTCTCTCTCCTCTTCAGTCCACTGCACATGATCCCTGCGGAGTATGAACATTCATTTCATTATTAACCAATGAATCACTTCATTTTCACTGCTCGTTATAACAAATAAGCAGAACCAGACAGTACATTTGTACAAAATTAGCAGATTTAAGTGAATATTTTTCAGAGTGCACTAACAAAATATATTAACACATGAAATTTTTAAAAATAAAATACCTTTTTTACTTTTATTTAAGGGTTTACAATCTGTCATTTAATACACCTACTAAAAGTAAAAAAATACAGCACAAAATGTATTGTTTTATAGTGAATCATATAAACATTTGCATATTATTTGATAATAATACTAAAATTAGTATTACAACTGAATATAAATATATTTACACACAATTACATATAGAAATACTTAAGACTTTATAATGGGCTAAAATTGTGATATAATCTAATACTGTGTGAATTAAATGCTGCTTTTACAGGTACACTTTAAAGGGTCATGACACCCCCCACTTTCAGTTCGGGTCTACCTCAGAATTTTTTCAAAATATGCATCATAGTGGGCGTGGAGCTCTGCGAGCAAAGGGCAGGAGTGGGCGGGGCCAGCAGAGCAGGGGAGAAGGAGGGGAGCGAACAACTGTTGACAATCGGCTCACAAAATGAGAGTCAAACCATGAGGAGACCCATGATTTTATAGTTTACAAAGTTAAATACAAAGAAATAAACAGTAATTTAATGCCCGGCTACATTTGTTATTTGTAATTTTATATACAGATAACCACAATTTATATCATTATAAAGATAATCATGTTCATATAAACACTATAAATGAGGGCTACCGCTACGTAAAAAACGTGTTGGATGAGTTGGCGGTTCATTCAACTGTGGCAACCCCAGATTAATAAAGGGAAAAAGCCGAAAAGAAAATGAATGAATGAATAATAAGTAGGTAGTGCTGTCGCCTTACAGCAAGAAGGTCGCTGGTTCGAGCCTTGGCTGGGTCAGTTGGCTTTTCTATGTGGAGTTTGCATGCTCTCCCTGCATTCACCTGGATGCTCTGGTTTCCCCCACAGTCCAAAGACATGTGGTACAGGTGAATTGGGTAGGCTAAATTGTCCGTAGTGTATGTGTGTGAATTAGCGTGTATGGATGTTTCCCAGAGACGGGTTACAGCTGGAAGGTATCTCATCTGCTGTGTAAAACATATGCTGGATAAGTTGGCGGTTCATTTCGCTGTGGCGACCCCAGATTAATAAAGGGACTAAGCCGAAAAGAAAATGACTGAATAATAATAATAATAATAAATACATTTTAAAAACGTCAACAGCGCATAGCATTCCATGTCTATACATTCAGTTCTTTTAAAGATTATCAGGGGAAGAAAAACATTTGTTATAATAATTCATACATGTCTCAGCTTTTTTGCTTTTCAACAGTTTCACAGAAGAAAAAAGGTAAGCATCTTTACCACATGTTATGCTTAAAGACGTCATCAGGGTTGGACAGGATTCTTCCTCCTAATGGAGCGGGTGGTCTTCCTCCACCGCACTGCCTGCAGGGAATAAAGCTCACAGCGCGGGCAGTCAGCTTCACGAGCCCCCTCATCTCTCCACACTCATCTGAACACATAATTCATTATTATGACAGACTGTTGCTGACATAAACGCACGTCTATTTGCATTTATGTGTGCAGAATTGAACTACATAACCTAGCATGCAACACTACGCGCCTTGAGATGACGTCCACGCGGAAGTTTTTGTAAATACATGTGAGCTGTGTGTGCTGAATACTCATTCAAAGCAACTAAATCACCACGAAGCCAGACAAGTATAAGCTTTAATGCAGTATTATCTGTCATTTTACCACGCTTTAAAACTGCTTTATGTGAGGATTTATGTCGACAAGAGAAATGCTAGCAGTTACTAGCTTACTAGCAAATGATGGCACCTGAAAATATCTATCATTTTAATTAGAGCAACAAGAACAAATGTGTGTGTTCAAATTCGACTATTTAAGTAATCAGACGCTAACTTTTCTGCAATATTTTCGTTAATGCTAACTGATGCTAAGACTATGACTTTGAGCAACGCTATTAATTATTGTTAATTGTTAATTAACGTTAGTGTTTGTATAAAAGGATTTTAACCAGCAACTCACTTATACGCCATTTCCGAAGGTTATTCCTCAGAAATAGTGGTAGTCAAGTGTATTTTTATGAGTTGTGTGAGAAGAATCGTCCGTCCTCTATGTGCGCGCTCCCGTCTCCACGTGCACAGCGCCCCCCTGCGTGCACCCGCACCAGTAAAAACAGCTGTGCTTTACTGGCTTCAAGATATAATGGATCCTGCTCCAACGACTTTGGCAGATTATTGGCATCAAACCTTAAGATCCTGAGAAACATCATCCTTAAAGTAAGTAGACGATAATTATTTATTGTTGAAGTACCGCAAATAAATGTAATGTATTTTGAAGTACCAACCACGATATCAATTGTTCATTATTGGGATATATCGAACTGTTGAATATTTGTATTATTTACAGTATGTTGAAGTTGATATTTTTAAGAATATTCAAAATCATAGTTGCTATCTTATTTCAAGTCGTTATAAATTTAATAAATGGAATATATAACTAATAAATAAACTAAAAAGGATTAAATTACATTATGAATAATATTGTAAGAAAATGCGTTAAAATCATATGAATGCGTTAAAATCATAGTTGTAATCTGATTACACATCGTAATAATTTTAATAAATGGACTTAACAACTACTAAATAAAATCTAAAAAATAATAAATTGGTTAATGCATAACAAAGCAATAAATTTGTAGTTGTAATCTGATTACAAGTCGTAATAATGTTATTAAATAGAGTTAATAACGAATAAAAAATTGGGTTAATGCATAACACGATAAAATCATAGTTGTAATCTGATTACAAGTCTTAACAATTTATTAAAATGTGTAAATGACTAATAAACAAAAACTAATAAATTGGTTAATGCATAATAACGTGTTAAAACAGTAGTTGCAATCTGATTACAAGTCGTAACCATGTATTAAACAGAGTAAATAATTAATTAATAAATTGGTTAATATATAATAACGCGCTAAAACCATAATTGTAATCTGATTACAATTCGTAATAATTTTATTAAATGGAGTAAATAACTAATAAATAAAATCTAAAAACAAATAAATCGGTTAATGCATAGTAAAGCATTAAATTCGTAGTTGTAATCTGATTACAAGTTGTGATTATTAAATGGACCGAATAACTAATAAATAAAAACGAATAAGTTGGTTAATATATAATAAAGCATTAAAATCAAAGTTGTATTCTGATTACAAGTCGTAATAATGTTTTTAAATGGAGTAAATAACTAATAAATAAAAATGAATTAATTGGTTAATTTATGATAATGCGTTAAAATCGTAGTTGGTAAATGATTACACGTCGTTATCATTTAATAAATGGAGTAAATAACTAACAATAAAAGCAAATAAATAAGTTAATATATAATAACACGTTAAATTTGTAGTTGAAATCTGATTACAAGTCATAATAATTTATTAAATGGAGTTAATAAGTAATACTGAAAACAGATACAAATTTTAATGCATAACAATGCATTAAATTTATAGTCATAATACATTTATTAAATTAAGTTGGTAACTAATAAATAAAAACTAAAAATGAATAAATTGGTTAATTCCTAATAACGCGTTTAAAATCATAGTTGTAATCTGATTACAAGTCATAATCATTTTGTTAAATGAAGTTAATTAAAAATAAATAAAAACAAATAAATGTAGTTGTATTTTTTCCTAATATTATCATAGTAACTGCTTTTTCTCTCAGTTGTTTTTTAATTAATTTAATTAAATATTTGTGTTATTATACCTGTTAAAGGAATATTGTTTGCAGCGTAGGTCAATATTATAATAATACTGTAGTTTCAGCAATTAATCGCTGCAAGAACAGTTTCTATTGCCGTAAACCTCAATGTAAATTTGTCTGTTTAACACAAATTGTATTATTTGCTTGATATTAATTAATGCCATGACTTTTATAGGATGATACAGAATTCGTCAAAGTGTGGAGCAAGACTTCCAAGTCCCTCATCTCTTATGAAAGTGGACGGATATACTTTGATAATTACAGGTGTTGTTACAGCAGGTAAACTGTCATTTGTTGTTATAGTTTTTTGGCACTTAAACGTCTGCTGAAGAGCTTTAAAATGTGTTTTTTTGTTTGATGTAATCTCAACTGAAGAATGAAGAGAGGGTGGGGAAGAAGCTCTTTTTACAAACAGCCAATAGCATTTGGTTTTTCGCACAGCTCTGCCAGTGAGAGTGGTCGAGATCAAGTGCATCAAATGAACAGCCAATGAGATGAAAGGGGCGGGGCATGTCAGATACTAGAGAGCATTTGATTGGTCAAGATTTGATGAGAAACTGAAGTATGAACTGATGGGGGGGGAAAAAAATCATTGATCCATTTAAGTGAAACTGACCAACTACAAGCTTTACATGTGAATTGTGTCTATGTTTTGGAGCACACAAGCTTATAGATATCCTTAAAACTAACATCTAAAACACTTTATTTTAATTTCACTGAACGTTTAAGGAAATAAATGTTTTTTTTGTTCTTGTTTGACATCTGCTAGAAGTGGTTTAAATGTATTTTACAAATCACAGCCTTTTGCCGGAGCCAGAACTGCTGTATGAACTCCCCAGAACTCCCAAAACAGAGAAGATTGAAGACGCGTTATTGTGCCAGTGTCCTCTGGTGAGTTTTATCATCTTCATGTCATCTCCATTGACGTACAGTACAGACCAAAAGTTTAGACCAGGGGTCACCAACATGGTTAGCCCTCGAGGATCACATGTGTTGCCCGCAGGCCTGTTCTAAAAATAGCTCACCATAGCGCCACTTACCAGTAAACTTCATCTAATATAGAAGTAATCATTTAAAAATGTAAATATTTGCAGAAATATATATAAAAATAAAGTGTTGCACATTGATACATTAAATACAGGGTTTTTCCTACCCTGTTAAATCATTGTTGATAACTTTTGTGAGAATCATTAACATGATCAGTGTCTTCACATGGATGAATATCATTAATTATTACCAAAAACATAAAGGTTTGGTGACCCCTGGTTTAGACACACCTTCTCATTCAAAGAGTTTTCATTATTTTCGTGACTATGAAAATTGTAGATTCACACTGAAGGCATCAAAACTATGATTTAATACACGTGGAATAATATACATAACAAACAGGGCTTGACATTCACTTTTTTGATCACCAGCCACTGCGGCTAGTAGTTTTCCAACGTAACTAGCCACTCTGCATTTTCACTAGCCACAATTTTGTTGTTGGAAAACATTTTTTATATGCATAAATATGACTTTGACTCGCTAATATTACTTGATTTAGATTTTTGTCCTACTTGTAGTGTACTACAGCAATTAGTCTTTATTTCACATGACTTTTCTGAACTCAAAATTAAGGATTTACCAAATTTAGCTCTGACCACACATGAATTATTTTTTAGCCACACATTTTAAATGTGTCAAAACAAGCTAAACATAGCTGTATACTATATTTTTTATTAAAAAAAAAAACATTTCTTTAAAAAAAAAAACAAGAAAAACAATTGACTTTTAAAAATAAATATTGTCATGTATCAAAAATATGCACAGTAATCTGTCCTGGCTAAAGGTCTATAAGATCACCAGTTAACTACACATAAATGAAGAGTTAATCTCATATTAAAGCAATGTTGTTGTAAAAAATGATAATTAAACCATATAAACAAAAATAACCATGACGCCTGTTTCACACCGCAAGCGTCAGAGGCGCGTGAGCAGAGCGTATGTCGAGCAGAAGCAGCACGCAGCTGCGTCTGCAGCGCGCAGCTCTTCGGCAGCTGCTGCAGAGATCAACCTATCTCTGTCTATTCTATCTAGTTACCCATGTCTCTCTATATACAGATACACTTTTTAAACTTTTCATCTGCACCAAGGCCCCTCCTATGCTGTTTCTTTAACCTGCAAATGTTTATTTTACAAATTTTATAGATCAAATAGTACTGTATGCTTCTCAAGCTAACTCATATGAGAAGTGTCTACAGTCAGAAGACAGTCGCCTGTGATGTCATGTCATTGGTTTTTTGATTATCAGGTTGCTGTAGACCTAGTTATAATAATATTTATATAATATAGTTATAATGATATTTATACATGATCAAACTAGTGTTACTTTCTCCGCTTCAGTGATGTCCACAGTGTTTCTTCCTCTGCTCAGCTGCACAGAACACAGCGAGCTCACATAATCCAGCATGCGTGTCGAACTACACTACCCACAACACACTTCGCTATGGCCTACAAATCCCGTAAATATTCTATTTCCCCTCTCCTACAACACTAGTGTGCAACTTAAGCAAAACTGATACTAAAATTTATTTACATTTGGTTTTGTAGTTCGGGCCTAAATAAATGTTTGTTGCCGTTTTTAATCGTTTTAAGTTCATTTGATCGACTATATATAAACCATTTGACATTATTAACGCATTTATTGGGTAAAATTGCTACTTTTTACTGTCATTCAATATGTTTTGGTCATTATCAATGCACTGTCACTTTAATTGAGCGTGAGCAGCGCGTCAAAAATACACCCAGCGCCGAAACTATCGCTGCACTGCGCTGCTGCTGCGTGCGGTATGAAAGCTCTAATCTGTTAACATGGACGCCGAAAACACACACGCTGCTCACGCTCTGCTCACGCGCCGCTGACGCTTGCGGTGTGAAGGCATAAGCTAAAAGAAAGCAGATGAGAAACATACTGTGGATGATTAATTGGTTAAGGCCAATTAATAATTTTGATTTCGGCATGATAACAGTAATCTATATTTTAATTTTCACAGTATATTGTACTATCAATTGTTGGCACATGTCTAATGAATAGAGCTTTTAACTTTGTCTATAATTGGTGGTTTTGCAGGAAAATGTGCTACCTAATGCCTCAGAGCAGAAATCATGTCTGTTGACTCTGACGGCTAACAACTGGTTATATCTGTTGTCGGCGGACACTGGAGAAACACTGCAGCGGGTCTACCTCTCCTCTCGTTTCAAGTTCAGGTGATCTGCATTTTCACTGTAGAGCTGAAGGAAACATTAGGTAGTGCTAACAATTTGCAGAAATAGTAAGTGAACAAAATTGGCAGGCTCTTTGGAAATGCGTGACTGTATAAATGTTTTGCAAAATGCTGAATATGTGTCTCTAGGTACATTTTGTGCATGTTTCAAATGACATATCCACTAGAGGGCGCTGTCTACATTTTTGCAAAATGCTGGATACGTTGCTTCACGTATGTTTTATGCATGTTTCAAATGACATATCCACTAAGGCAGGGGTCACTAAACTTGTTCCTGTAGGGCCGGTGTCCTGCAGATTTTAGCTCCAACCCTAATCAAACGCACCTGAACAAGCTAATTAAGGTCTTACCAGGTGTACTTGAAACATGCTGGCAGGTGTGTTGAGGCAAGATGGAGCTAAACCCTGCAGGGACACCGGCCCTCCAAGACCGAGATTGGTGACCCCTGGCGTAAGGGCTCATTATGCGGTTCTGTCGCCATCTTGTGGATAGAAAACGTCAACTGTCTTTGCTCTACACTATGGCAGGCTAATGGTAGCCGACGAGCTCTCTCAGAAATTGTAAATATTTTAAAATAGGCACTATTTTTACAAATAAACTGCATAGCTGCAATCTAAACAACTACATCAGTGGTCACCAACCTTGTTCCTGGAGGGCCGGTGTCTTGCAGATTTTAGCTCCAACCCTAATCAAATACACCTGAACAAGCTAATTAAGGTCTTACTAGGTATACTTGAAACATGCAGGCAGGTGTGTTGAGGCAAGATGGAGCTAAACTCTGCAGGGACACCGGCCCTCCAGGACCAGGATTGGTGACCCCTGCACTAAGGGATGCGGTCTACATTTTGGAAACGCGTCCGAACGATTAGTTGCATGAAAAGAATAATTTATTTGTCCTGTAAACATCACTAAATTTCGTCATACTGTCCTGTACCGTTCATTTTACATAAATACCAAAATACAAATTTGCTCACCATTTACTCGCCCTCAAGTGGTAGCAAATTTCCATATTATTCGGAAACACAAGAGAAGATGTTTACCAGAATGTTGGTACATTCATTCATTCATTCATTTTCTTGTCGGCTTAGTCCCTTTATTAATCCGGGGTCGCCACAGCGGAATGAACCGCCAACTTATCCAGCAAGTTTTTACGCAGCGGATGCCCTTCCAGCCGCAACCCATCTCTGGGAAACATCCACACACACACTCATACACTGGACAATTTAGCCAACCCAATTCACCTGTACCGCATGTCTTTGGACTGTGGGGGAAACCGGAGCACCCGGAGAACATGCAAACTCCACACAGAAATGCCAACTGAGCCGAGGTTTGAACCAGCGACCTTCTTGCTGTGAGGCGACAGCACTACCTACTGCGCCACTGCCTCGCCCCTATGTTGGTACATCTACATCTATAATAGGGAAAATTGTCATGTTTTCATCAGAAAAAACTAACCTAAATGACTAGCCTAATGACTAAATCCCCAATGACACCCTCTGCCAGTGCATTGATGAAATTAACAGTTGGATGTGCCAAAACTTTCTTCAGTTAAACAAAGAGAAAACTCAAGTGATTGCATTTGGGAACAGAGATGAGGTTCTCAAGGTGAATGCGTACCTTGGCACTAAAGGTCAAACAACAAAAAATAAGGTCAAGAATCTTGGTGTGACTCTGGAGTCAGATCTGAGTTTCAATAGTCATGTCAAAGCAGTCAGTAAATCAGCATACTGTCATCTCAAAAACATAGCAAGAATCAGATGCTTTCTTTCTAGTGAAGATTTAGAAAAACTTGTTCATGCTTTTATCAGCAGCAGGGTGGATTACTGTAATGCCCTCCTCACTGGTCTTCCTAAAAAGACAGTCAGACAGTTGCAGCTCATCCAGAACGCTGCAGCCAGAATTCTGACCAGAACCAGGAAATCAGAGCACATCACACCTGTCCTCAGGTCTTTACACTGGCTCCCAGTTACATTCAGAACAAATTTTAAAGTATTATTACTGGTCTATAAATCACTAAATGGCCTAGGACCTCAATACATTACAGAAATGCTCACTGAATACAAACCTAACAGATCACTCAGATCTTTAGGATCATTTAAACTAGAAGTGGGGCAAGGCAGTGGCGCAGTAGATAGTGCTGTCGCCTCACAGCAAGAAGGTCGCTGGTTTGGCCTCGGCTCAGTTGGTGTTTCTGTGAGGAGTTTGCATGTTCTCCCCGCCTTCACGTAGGTTTCCTCCGGGTGCTCCGGTTTCCCCCACAGTACAAAGACATGCGGTACAGGTGAATTGGGTAGGCTAAATTGTCCGTAGTGTATGAGTGTGAATGCATGTGTGTGGATGTTTCCCAGAGATGGGTTGCGGCTGGAAGGGCATCCGCTGCGTAAAAACTTGCTGGATAAGTTGGCGGTTCATTCCGCTGTGGCGACCCCAGATTAATAAAGGGACTAAGCCGACAAGAAAATGAATGAATGAATGAATAAACTAGAAGTTCCAAGAGTTCAGTCAAAGCAGGGTGAATCAGCTTTCAGCTACTGCACCCCTCGCTGCTGGAATCAGCTCCAACATTAGGCACATTCTAATCAAGACTGAAAACACATCTGTTTAGCTGTGCCTTTCCTGAATGAGCACTGTGCTACATCCGACAGATCGCACTATTATGTTTTTCTGTTCTCTTTCATTCTTTTATAACACATTTGATCTGTTTGTATGTTTTTTTAATAATTTTTATTATTTGTTTTTATTTTTCTTATACGTGCTTTTTTTATTCCTGTTTATGTAAAGCACTTTGAATTGCCACTGTGTATGAAATGTGCTATAGAAATAAACTTGCAACTTGCTAAACAGGTTTAGAAGAAGCGGAGGGGGAGTAAATTATGACAGTTTTTATTTACATTTAATTGTAGGGTTAGATTAACTTTTTAAGAGAGGAAAATGTCAGTGCTCATGCAGTTTTTGTGGATTTCAGAGTAATGTAGGCTGAAGCACGTATTTCCAATGAGCCCTGGTTGCAAATGTTTTTGTTGTACTAATATGAGTTTTTCCGACAGATCGTTAGGTTGGGACTCTTCACAGGAGACATTTTACGTCAAATCCGTTCAATGCAAACAGACTGCTCTAGAACGACAGGTCAGGCTTTACTCGGATACACTTGTATCTGCACTATTGCTGTTTCTCTCGCTCTCAGTTCAATTCAAAAGATCTTTACTGACATGACAAAGCATTTCACATCGCACAACCTATGAATAAAGTGATCATACACTCACCGGCCACTTTATTAGGTACAACTTACTAGTACAGTGTTGGACCCCTTTTTGCCTTTAGAACTGCCCTAATCCTTCATCTCAGATTCAACAAGGTACTGGAAATATTCCTCAGAGATTTTGCTCCATATTGACATGATAGCATCACACAGTTGCTGCAGATTTGTCGGCTGCACATCCATGATGCCAATCTCCCGTTCGACCAAATCCCAAAGGTTGCTCTATTGGATTGGGATCTGGTGACTGTGGAGGCCATTTGAGTACAGTGAACTCATTGTCATGTTTAAGAAACCAGTCTGAGATGATTCATGCTTTATGACATGCTGCTTTATCCTGCTGGATGTAGCAGACGATGGGTAAACTGTGGTCATAAAGGAATGGACATGGTCAGCAACAATACTGGCGTTGACATGATGCTCAATTGGTACTAATGGGCCCAAAGTGTGCCAAGAAAATCTCCCCAACACCATTACACCACCAGCACCAGCCTGAACTGTTGATACAAGGCAGGATTGATCCATGCTTTCATGTTGTTGAGTTTTGGTGAGCCTGTGTGAATTGTAGCCTCAGTTTCCTGTTCTTAGCTGACAGGAGCGGCACCCGGTGTGGTCTTCTGCTGCTGTAGCCCATCCGCCTCAAGTTTGGATGTGTTGTGTGTTCAGAGATGCTCTTCTGCAGACCTCGGTTGTAACGCGTGCTTATTTGAGTTACTGTTGCCTTTCTATCAGCTGGAACCAGTCTGACCATTCTCCTCTGACCTCTGGCATCAACAAGGCATTTGTGCCCACAGAACTGCCGCTCACTGGATATATTATCTTCAGACCATTCTCTGTAAACCCTAGAGATGGTTGTACGTGACAATCCTAGTAGATCATCAGTTTCTGAAATGCTCGCACCAGCCCATCTGGCACCAACAACCATGCCATGTTCACGGTCACTTAAACCACCTTTCTTCCTCATTCTGATGCTCAGTTTGAACTGCAGCAGATCACCTTGACCATGTTTACATGTCTGAATGCATTGAGTTGCTGCCATGTGATTGGCTGATTAGAAATTTGCATTAACGAGCAGTCGGACAGGTGTACCTAATAAAGTGGCCGGTGAGTATATAATGCATATATAGGTCTGATAAGTACATACACAAATAATAAGAAAAACGACTAACATGATTATTAAAGAGATAATGAAATAATACAATACACAATTGTACATTCATTCTCCGTCTCTCTCAGGCTGGTGTTGATAATAACATCCTCATGCGCGTGGCTGCATTTCAAGTGTTTCCACTGCAGCTTGTTGGAATGCTGGAGATAAATAAAAAGGTAACATCTTCTGCATTTGTGTTTTGTATCATTTTTTATTTATCGTTAATTTTATTCATTTAGATATGCTTGAATTGGTACTTTTTTGTCAAATGTGGGGATTTCAAAACTAATATTTACAGATTGTTCACAGTGAATTGTTTTTTTATACTTGAATTAGTTCAAAATGCTGATCTTGAACAGAATGATGAGAGGTTGTGTTGTGTTGTGTTGTGTGCAGGTGTTTGGTAAGACTGCAGTGGATGTGCTGCTGTCACAGGGAGTGTTAGCTGTATCACACAGCTCAAAACTCGTCCGACTTTACAGTTTTGAGTACATTGTTAACAAGGTAATGGCATATTATATATTATATTCCTGCTGAAAAATCAAGCTTAAACCAGCCTAGGTTATCTGTACTTATAAAGTTTATATTCTGCATGATCCTATTCAAGATGCTTCAAACTAAGTTCTTTCTAGTTCTTCGTTTGAGATCAAAATGATGTCCGAAAAGTGGCTTGTTAATAGTCTGAATTGTGTTTTAAAAAGAAAGTGTGACTGAATATTTGCTGGACCGAATGTTTGTTGAAAATGTCGGTTTAATCATGATTCCACTTCAGTTTAGAACTGAGGAGCTGATTCTGGGACAGCAGTGTGAGCTGAATAATGCAAGGGGAATCGTGGGAGATGCTCCATATGGTGTTCCGGTCAACATTTGCATTCATGGTGGGTGACGGAGTCATTCCAGAAGTATGGATGCAGTCCTCCAAGCTCATGATGGAGTCAGACACAATATTCATTCTGTCTCCACTGCAGCAGGACTTTATATTCTATACTGGACATTATTTCTGTTCAGTGATGAGACTTTAGTCTAAGCGAAGTCAGACCTTACAGTCCTAATTAAATCATTAGAAATCAAGGCATGATCATGTTTTATTTTGGTCTAATAAGCGTCATCTAGAGGCTTTTGCCTTTCATGTAAGCCACCATTGATATCAATTGATCAACTATAAGTCTAGGTATTACTTGTTGTTCCTAAAACTTCAAGTTTAGTACAATATTTCAGCAAATATTGGTTTCAATGCTTCTCTCCACAGAGTGTCCCCCAGTCTTGTTTGAGATGACATACTTTGAGAATGGGGTTCAGATTGGAGGACATCCTTGGCACTACATCTACACCCCCAACCACAAGAGACACAGAGGAACCCACCACGTCTGCTCCATCACAGATGGAGCTCTGGTGCCTCTTCTTTTTTTTTATTTAAATGTATTTTTATCGAATGTGCAAAAACGTATCGGAAAATTATATTGAATAATAAGATAATATCCGTCACTCATATTGTTTGAATCCTGACTCTTAAATGAAAAATTATAATAAAAATAATAAATTTAAGGTGGTCTATTCAAATAATGGACTAAGCTGAAGGAAAATCAATGATTGAATTAAGTAAACAAATAAAAAAAAATAAGGACAAGCTTTTAGTCTTAGAGACAGAGATTCCCAGATGATCAAAGGAAGGATCTCAGGTCCCATAAAATAGGAAAGGTTTGTTCTTAATGGCTGTGGTGAAAGTATTGTGGTGACAAGTCATACACGGTGGCAATTCAACGTGTTTTACATAAACAGGAATAAAAGAGACAAGTATAAGAAAATAAAAACAAACAAAAAGCAAAAAAATAAAAATGTGTTAAACAGGTTATAAAAGAATGAAAAAGAAAAGAAATACATAATAGTGTGATCTGTTGGACGTAGCACAGTGCTCATTCAGTAAAGGCACAGCTAAACGGATGTTTCAGTCTTGTTTTGAACTTGCCTAATGTTGGAGCACATCTGTAAACCCAAGTCTGTCTTCCCAGATGCGGAACGCGCGTCAAGCGTGAGGGATTTACATGTTTAGTCGATGGAAACGTGTGAATAGACATCCTGCGGCGCGAATACGCACGAAGGGTGCCGCGCGAATGACACGAATTACACAAATGGCGCGGCGCGAATTAAGAATTTTTGCGCGAATCACTCGAGTTCAAAAATCTGAACTTAGCCACGTTAACCAATCAGAAGCTTGCTCTTGTGGGGCTGTGATTGTGACGTAGAACCTGTTGATGGTGTCCCGGGGGAAATCCTCCAGCCGACACCGACAACAAGTCATCAAACTGGGCTTGGCTCAGTCAGAAGCACCGCTGAAAGCCTCCGACACGGCCCTAAAAGTATCTACGCTGTTTTTCAGCCTTCATAAAGCACATAAACACTGTTATTTTCTTCATAAAATCCATGTTAGCCATTTAGCTACGAAGCTAGAGTCACCGGGCAGACAGAAGCCCTGCCCATCACGTGAATCCGCGTCTGTTCTGAAGTGATTTTGACGCGCAAATGAAGTGGGGTTTAATGCGGGAATCAAGCAAGTAAACTCAAATGCTTACGCGGTAATTAACGTGCAAATAGCGCGATTTATCCTCGCGTTCCACGTCTGGTGTGAACGCAGCATAAGGGTGCTTTCACACCTAGACTTTTGTTTGGGAACCTGTCTCGTTTGCAAAGTTAGCGCGGTTCGTTTGGCATATGTGAAACTTCCAATCGCGCCAAATCAATCGCTTAGAGATCAGTTGAATGAGGTGGTCTCAGCTCGATTGAAACGAACTCTGGAACTGTTCGATTGTAGTAAGAAATCTATATGATCTGAGCCCGGTTATATCACAGTGTTTTATGGATATATCATGTAAAGAGAGAATTATGTGTAGGGCGGGAGGTCATTCCAGACATCCCAAGTCTCCCAGAAGTTTCAGTAGTCTCCCGCAAATGCACAGAGACTCCCGGATGCCCACAAATGAGTGATGATCTCCTGGAAATCGTGCGTCTCTCTCCCGGTCCTCAAATACGTCGCGCACCCTTCTCACCCCTCCCCACCGCATCCCTCCTCGCTCTTCAGACACGTCGTGCGCACCCTGTCAAACACCATCAAACCACCGCCACCCCTAACAGCTGAGCGGGACTCTGCAAAATAAACCCTGACACTCTGACCAATGTGAGGAGAGTTTACTCACACGTGACTTGTTTTAGCTATTTTGGTCCGTTTAGAAACTTTGTCGTGTGAAAGCGAACCGCAACAATGTAACAATGTTAATCCCTGTTTCGCAACAACTGAATCGATTCACAGGTGTGAAAGCACCCTTAGTCTGTCTAACAATGTAAAAACCACAATATTATCAGAATGTGGACATGCAGCACAAGTTATACCAGGACCTTTATGTCATGTCTGTTGTGGTAGATGTAAAATTAAACTAAAGATTCTATTGGGTTTATCTCATTGATGGACCCATGTTGACATTCTGTTATGAATGACAAATGGCTTAGTAAATTTTGTATATCAATATGTCTTCGTACATGATCATCGAAACTAGTGAAAATAGGAAAGTGTTGACATTTTTAAGTGAAATGCTAATGGTCTAATCGGATTCAATGATTTATGCTAAGCTAAGCTAACAGTACTCCTGCCAGACTCTATCCAGCTGAATGTATTAAAAAATGGTAAATATATATTGGCCAGTAGTTTATAGTGTGAATTGTTACTTAAACCAAAGTGTTACCAAGTACTCCATATTTACTTATATAACAACTTCATACACAAGTGCTGTGATAATTTTTTTTTTTTGTGAGAAATCCTTCAATGTTTACAAAATAATCCAAACAACTATCAATGAATAAAACCCTTTGCGAAAAACACTATATGAACATATTTGAATTAAGTGTAAACATCTTATCTATTTGTTCCAATGATCTGTACATCAGGCAAAGAACGGCGTCCAGGACATGAAATGTGACTCTCTAGAAGTGGACTGGATCTTTTTTCACCCAGATGACTCCGGTCGAATCATTCATGCCGGGCCCAGCACAATAAAGTGAGCATAAATGTTAATGTTTTATTAGAGACATGTCACTGGACAAGGATAAACAAGTAAATGAGGAGACCTTACACTGTAGTCTGTGCAAAGGTGTAGAGTAGTCGGAGCAAAGTACTAGTGAAGTCTGTTGAGTTCTCTGAGCAAAGTTCCAGAGAAGCCTGTCAAGTAGTCTGAGCAGAGTCCTAGAGAAGCCTGTCAAGTAGTCTGAGCAGAGTGCTAGAGTTGTCTGAGCAAAATTCTAAAGAAGCCTGTGAAGTAGTCTAATCGACGTTCAAGAGTAGTCAGAGCGAAGTCCTAGAGTAGTCTGAGTGAAGTCCTAGGGTTGTTTGAGCTAAGTCCTAGAGAAGTCTGAGCAAAGTTCTTGTGAAGTCTGTCAAGTAGTCTGAGGGACTTTCCAGAGAAATCTGTCAAGTAGTCTGAGCAAAGTTCTAGACAAGTCTGTTGAGTAGTTTGAGCAGAGTTTTAAAGAAGCCTGTAAAGTAGTCTAAGCGAAGATTAAGAGTAGTCAGAGCAAAGTTCTAGATAAGTCTGTTGAGTAGTCTGAGCGAAGTTTAAAAGTAGTCTGAGCGAAGTCCTAGAGTAGTCTGTCGAGTAGTCTGAGCGAAGTCCTAGAGTAGTCTGTCGAGTAGTCTGAGGGAAGTCCTAGAGTAGTCTGTTGAGTAGTCTGAGGGAAGTCCTAGAGTAGTCTGTTGAGTAGTCTGAGCGAAGTCCTAGAGTAGTCTGTTGAGTAGTCTGAGCGAAGTCCTAGAGTAGTCTGTTGAGTAGTCTGAGGGAAGTCCTAGAGTAGTCTGTTGAGTAGTCTGAGGGAAGTCCTAGAGTAGTCTGTTGAGTAGTCTGAGGGAAGTCCTAGAGTAGTCTGTTGAGTAGTCTGAGCGAAGTCCTAGAGTAGTCAGAGAGAAGTTTTAAAGAAGTCTGTAGAGAAGTCAGAGCAAAGTTATAGAGAATACATTCAAAATGTTAAACACGTCAGCACCAATAGCCTTGTGGTTATTGCGTCGACACATGGCACTGAGGTGTTTACGGCGACCTGAGTTCGATTCCCGGCTCGAGGTCCTTTGCCAACTATTCCCTTATCTCTGCTCCCCATACTTTCCTGTCTCTACATCTCCACTGTCCTATTACAATAAAGGTGAAAACCCCTAAAAAATAGATATAAAGAAAAGTTAAAGACAATGTATATAATCTTTTCAGTTATAAACTTACATTGCAACCTACAATTTATGCATTTGTAATTCCACGCTGCCTTACATTTTTTACTTTTCTAGTCATCTTAACAGCGTAGAACTTCAAAAAATGTAGTTAAAGTCAGATTTTATGAAGTAAAATAAAAAATGTCACAACTTTTTGTCATTGTTTTTTTTTGTTTTTTTTTACAGTGTAACAATGATAGTTTTCTTTTGGGTTAAACTATTTGGTTTTTTTCCCCTGGAGTTGATTTTTTTTTTCTTTTAATTTCCTCTTTTACAGCATTCTCAAGATCATGGCGGAAACAGGATGTGACTGGAAGTATGAGATCATCACAGATTTCTCCATCACCGCTGCTCGTGACAGTAATGTAAGTGTTATATAGTTCAGTAAAATTTTTTGTTCATCCATCCATCCATCTATTCATCTATTTATTAGTTTGTTTATTTATTTGTTTATTTATTCTATTTGTATTAATGCCAGATCAGCAGCATTGACTATATTCATGGCAATATTGGTAGTAAATATTCGAGACATAACAGTTTCTTAAACAAGCATTATACAAAAAAAAACAAAACAAAATCAAACTAAAAAGGACTTTCCAACACATTAAGACTGCAAGTTCTTAAACTTGTACGAGGGCATTTTGTCATCTACAGTTTGACTCAAGGGTTTATATCGGTGATGAATTCTTCTTCCTCTCAGCAGGCCTCTCAGGTGATTGTGACCTCTTCTGGCCGTACAGTTAAAAGGAGATTTCAGATGTTAGACGATGACCCTGCACAAGAGGTACAGCACACCACCAGCTCAGATTTAGGTCTAATCTGAGGGAGAACATGTTTTCTTAAGCACCAGAACATATTTGGGGGTTTCTAAAATTAATTTTTTTTGCCATCAAAGGGAGAGTTCACTTTAAAATGCCAATTTACTCACCCTCAAGTGATTCCATGTGAGTTTCCTTTATTTGTTGAACACAAATGAAGATATTTTGAAAAATGTTACCATTGGTTTTCGTCAAAGTAAAAACAAATACTATGGAAGTCAATGGTTACAGGTTTTTATAATTTTTTAAAATATCTTCTTTTGTGTCCAACATAAAAAAGAAAACCATAAAGGTTTAAAACAAAGTAAATGATGTGTAAATGGTGAACTATCTCTCTAAGGAAAACAGAATTTTGACATCAATAATATGCTATGAAAAAAAAAGCATTTTGTCTTTTTTCTACTCCAAATATTACAAAAAAATCCTAAATTATTTGCTAGATAAGCAAAAATATTGTCTTGTTTTTAGAAATATGTCAAAATTAAGTCAGTTTTGCTTAAAACAAGCACGAAATATTATTTATATTAAGATTATTTTGCCCGTTTGAAGGAAAAACTTATAATTTTGACATATTTCTGAAAACAACAAAATATTTTATTCCTTATCTAGAAAATGCGTCTTGATTTAAGAATTTTTAAACATTTAGACTAGAAACAAAACAACAACTCTGCATTCTTTTGCAGTCTAATGCGTGATCATGAGGTCTCTGAGCTTGTGTATTATTTTGAATACTTATTATAATACCTAGACGTTCAGAATGGTGAAGTATGAAGACGAGCTTGATCTGCTGGCTGTGGTGGACATCACTCACGCTGAAGATGAAGGACAGGCTCGTCTTCGCCTGCATGACAATAAAACAGGCGCTTTAATGAAGAGAGTTCCTCTGGAGGAGCCCTGGGATGTGGTATGAATCTTCAATTAATGTCATTAGACCAGTGTTTCCAACACTGTTCCCAAAGGCACACCAACAGAACACTCTCTCAGCCTCTTCCTAATCAAACACATCTGAATCAACCCATTAGAACATAATAAAAACCTGAAAGTAATGGGTCAGGCAAGGGAATCATCCAAAATATGGACTGTTGATGCGTCTCCAGGAACAGGGTTTGGAAACACTGGTTTACACCTGCATGATAAATAGTTTTTAAACCAAAAGACACTCGTATTTGGCCTTTAAGTGCTGCTTTAAATAAAACACACTAACACACACACACACAAATGCAGTCTTTGAATCTTCCTGACTAAAAATGTGTTTTCTAGGTGTTTCCTATGTGTTTGCCAGTGTTTCCCAATCCTGTTCCTGAAGACACACCAACATTACACATTTTCAACCTCTTCCTAATCAAACACACCTGAATCAACTCATCAGAACATAGTTAATGGGTCAGATGAGGAAGACATCCAAAATATGTACTGTTGGTGTGTCTTCGGCAACAGAGTTGGGAAACACTGGTCTAGGCCTGCACAATAAATCATTTTTAAACTGAAAGAACTCATATTTGGCCTGTAAGTGCAGCTTCTGATAAAAGACACACACACACACACACACACACACACACACACACACACACAAATGCAGTCTTTTATATCTTTTTGACTACAAAAATGTATTGTCTTGGCCAGTGTTTCCCAATCCTGTTCCTGAAGGCACACCAACAGCACCCGTTTTCAACCTCTTCCTAATCAAACACACCTGAATCAACTCATCAGAGCATTAGAAGAAACTCCAAGAGCTAAAGTTAATGGGTCAGATAAGGGAGACATCCAAAATATGGACTGTTGATGCATCTCCAGGAACAGGGTTGGGAAACACTGGTTTACACCTGCATGATAAATAGTTTTTAAACCGAAAGACACTCGTATTTGGCCTTTAGGAGCTGCTTTAGATAAAACACACAAACACACACACACAAATGCAGTCTTTGCATCTTCCTGAATACAAATGTATAGTATAGGCCAGTGTTTCCCAACTCTGTTCCTTAAGGCACACCAACTGTACACATTTTCAACCTTTTCCTAATCAAACACACCTGAATCAACTCTTCAGAGCATTAGAAGAGACTACAAAAGCTGAAGTTGATGGGTCTGATAAGGGAGACATACATAATATGTACTGTTGGTGTGTCTCTGGGAACAGGGTTGGGAAACAAGAGTCTAGGTCAGCACGATTAATCGCTTTTAAACCGAAAAAACTCATATTTGACCTGTAAATCCTGCTGCAGATAAAACACACACACAAATTCAGTCTTTACATCTTCCCGAATACAAATGTATCATCTAGGCCAGTGTTTCCCAACCCTGTTCCTGAAGGCACACCAACAGTACACATTTCAACCTCTTCCTAATCAAACACGCCTGAATCAACTCATCAGAACATAATAAAACCTGAAGTTAATGGGTCAGATGAGAGAGACATCCAAAATATGTACTGCCGGTGTGCCTCCAGGAACAGGCTTGGGAACCACTGCATTAGACGCTATTTTTTTAATTGCTCATAATTCAAAGGTTCTCCTTTGTTTTTCCAGACCTACAGTCACGAGGTGTACTTTGACAGAGACACCATTATTCACACTGTCCAGGAGAAGAACAACAGCTTCTGTTGCCATGTTTATAAAATGAAGAGACCAGCTTCAGACCAACCATAATGAGCATGCTTCATATCATGTAGACCAGGGGCCTGTTTCAGTAAGGAGGTTCAAACAACTCAGAGTTTAAACTTGAACTCTGAGTTGATTTACCGAGAGATTAAAAACTCAGAGTTTTCGGTTTCAGAACAGCTGATCTGAGTTGGGTCAATCAACTTCGAGTAGACCAACTCAGAGTTAAGCGCGCACACCGTGACTTTAAAAAGGCATTATCAATGGAGCGCAGACATTAAGAGTGACTATGGCAATATCTTATAAAAGAGATCACCATTTCTTTCTCCAGCTGAACTTGATGTTCTCATGCAAAGTTATAGCAAATATGAGCGTATATATTTGAAAAGAAGCAACCATCAGTGAAGAAGAGACAGCGTGGGAAAACAGCTGCTCAAGTTAATGCCTAATTTAACTTTTTAAGTATTTAAATATTTAAGTATAATAAAATAAGTAATGTAATTTGTGACGTTTATAGATTTTTTTTGAAACTTTCTTTTATACATTTATTAGTTTTAAATGATTTAACAGTGCACTTGTGTGTCTGCCTTTTTTATTGATCAAGTGATAGGTTAATATAACATTTAGAAGGTAAGCAGTACTAAAAATAATTTTTAGAAAGAATAATAATCCCATTAATCTAGTTACAGTGCATGTCGAAGGTGAATTTAATTTAATTATTTATTTAAAAAAGATAAGCCATTTTCGTAGTTTTTCTGTGTGTGACTAAAATGTAGGCAATAGCTATGTTTCCATCCAAATATATTACATAAATTTATGTGCAAAACTGGATATTGCATAAAAGATGCGAATAAAATTCCATCCAACGAGTGAAAGAGAAAAAAATAGTCACTTCCTGATAAAACTGGCACCAAATATCAACAGTAAAAACAGACTTTACTGTGGTAGAAGAAGCTGCGTCAATTAATTCTTTATTTAGCCTAATTAATGTACTTGCCCCTCGATGTCAGAAGACAATGCTGAAACACAAGGAACACGTGGGGGCGTCTGAAGCCATGAGACACGGAGACTCTTGACACGCACCAGACGTTCTGAGGTAATTAATAATATACACTAATACTGAAACAGTTAAGGCATTTTAGAATGACTAAAACAATATTTAAGACATGTTACAGTGTGCTCAGCCTGCTGGTTTGTCCATTTACACACATTTTCATTATCATATGATCATGATCTTTTTTTAATGTACATACTGTAATTTGTTCAGTAAAAGTGTTTCCATCGTAGTTTATGCGCACATTTTCTATCAAATAAAAGTTTATCCTACTCAGTTATGCGCGTTTTTATGCATATTTTAAAAAGTTATTTGCATCATGACGTTTCTATCAATCGTTTTTATGCACATATCCAAAATGAGCTCTAAAATAGGTGGGTGGAAACGTAAGGCTAAGGCGAGAAATACCGCTTCATCTTAAAAAAAGGGGAGGAGACAGAGAGAAACTCTGAGTTTAGAGAATAAAACCTGCTTCTGACCAGGTTAGATTCACAGAGTAAGTTACCACGGTAACTGACTCTGAGTTAAAGTTACCTCTCTTTCAGAAACAGGCTTGACTTACCCTGCTTTCTCGAGTTTAACAAACCTGCCATTTTGAAACGGAAAACCTAGAGTTTCTCTCATTTCAGGGTTAAAATACTCTGAGTTTTCAGTTAACCTCCTTTCTGAAACAGGCCCCAGGTCCTGGAGGTCTGGTGTCCTGCAGATTTTAGCTTGCCTCAACACACCTGCATGGATGTTTCTAGAAAGCCTAGTAAGAGCTTGATTAGCTAGCCCAGGTGTGTCTGATTGGGGTTGGAACTAAACTTTGCAGGACACACAGGCCCAGGACCGAGTTTGGACATGCCTGATGTAGACAAAACAACGTAATAAAAGATGTCTGTTATAATGATGTCATGTTATAATGTAGATATTCTCCTATGTCGATGTTTGACAACTCGAGAGCAGAAACTATATATATTTTTGTATTATGAAGCATGAATCTTTCACACTGTCATTTGTATTGGAGAAATTGCTGATCAGCGAGCATTCATGCATTGACATCAATGACCTGACACGGTTCTGTTTACTAATTTATATCAGTATGCAAACATTAACTCGTAACTTTCTTAATAAAGACAGAATTTTGTGACAGATACTCTCTTGTCATGATTGTGAAACCAAGTTACGTTGTATAACACTGTGGTTGCTTACAAAACTGTCGAGGAAAAAAAAAAAAAAAGAAAAGCAGCCTGTGTTTCATTTAGTGAGCTGACAGACTTCATGAGTTGCCTACTTAGACAGCATGAGGTGTCATAAGTCTAAGCAGAGAGACATTTTGAACAAAGATTATATTTTAGCTAGAGATGTACAGTTGAAGTCAGAATTATTAGCCCCCTTGAATTATTAGCCCCCTGCTTATTTTTTCCCCAATTTCTGTTTAACGGAGAGCACATTTTTTTCAGCCCATTTCTAAACATAATAGTTTTAATAACTCATCTCTAATAACTGATTTATTTTCTCTTTGCCATGATGACAGTAAATAATATTTTACTTGATATTTTTCAAGACACTTCTATACAGCTTAAAGTGACATTTAAAGGCTTAACTAGGTTAATTAGGTTACCTAGGCAGGTTAGGGTAATTAGGCAAGTTATTGTATAACAGTGGTTTGTTCTGTAGATTATTGAGAAAAAAATATAGCTTAAAGGGGCTAATAATTTTGTCCCTAAAATTGTGTTTAAAAAATTAAAAACTGCTTTTATTCTAGCCGAAATAAAACAAATAAGACTTTCTCCAGAAGAAAAAATATTATCAGACATACTGTTAAAGTTTTCTTGCTCTGTTAAACATCATTTGGGAAATATTTAAAAACAAAGAAAAAAAAATGAAGGGGCTAATAATTCTGACTTCAACTGTATAAAGTACTAGAGACCCAGACTTAAGTAAAAGTACAAGTGCTCTATCAAAAAAAGACTTGAGTAGAAGTTGAAGTGCTCTTTAAGCACCACACTTAAGTGGAAGTACTAAAGTATTAAGTAGCTTATTTCAAAATTTACTACTCAAGTACTAAAAGTAAAAGTACAACTATTGTGTAATGTAGTTATTAAAGAAAGCAGGCAAAAGACATCATATTGGTTTATATTTATTTTAAATATATTTTTTGAGGTACGTGATTAGGCAGAAGGAAAAGAAACATGGCTTATGATTTATAAACAGTTGAAGGCAGAAATTTCAGCCCCCTTTGAATTTTTTTCATTTTTAAATATAATAATAAACAGAGCAAAGAAATTTCCCAGTATGTCTGATAATATTTTTTCTTCTGAAGAAAGTCGTATTTGTTTTATTTCAGCTAGAATAAAAGTAGTTTTTAACTTTTGAAACACCATTTTAAGGTTAATGTTATTAGCCCCTTTAAGCTTAATTTTTTTTTTCGATAGCCTACAGCAGTGGTTCTCAAACTTTTTTCCTAAAGTACCACCTCAGAAAAAAATAGTCTCTCCAAGTTCCATGGGCAGTACTGAAGTACAGTAGCGTAGTCATAGTAGGCCCAGTAAAGCAGCTACAACTCTTCACAGTTCAAAAACGTGGCAGATGAATTACTATTAATAAGAAAATTTATTAGTGTCAGCCATTTAAATATTATACTTAGTCTGAACATGAACACTGTACTGCGCTTATATGTAAAAAACAAATAAAAACAAAAAACATCACATTTAAATTAAAATGTGCTTTTAATAGTAAAAATGGCAGGTTCCTCTCAATGGTTTTTCCTTCACTTTCGTCAATTGGTGAAGTTTTGTCCTCGCCACAGGCTTGCTAGGTTTGGCTCGCATCGATGGATTTGCTCTTCTGTGTTTGGACTTTCAGTAGTGAAAGCAACTCAATTCTGAAAACTGGACTGACACTGTTTCCATCTATTATAATATTCTATGTTAAACTGCTTTGACACAATCTACATTGTAAAATTGTACAGAAATAAAGATTAATTTAATTTAATTGAGTATTTCTTGAAAAAGCCCTTCTTAATTTAATATTAAAACAAGAAAAATAACAATTTAACTAAATTCAAACTAAAATTAAACCAAAAAAAACAAGAATAGTTTGCTTGTTTTAAGGAAAAACTCACTTAATTTTGACTGATCCTATTCTCTGAAAAACGCTTCTTAATTCAAGATTATTTAAGATATTTGAACTATAGAAACAAATTTTTTTTTTGGATGATGCCAAGTATAAAAGTCAAACTCAAGATATTTATATACTTTATTAAAGGATTTTGCTTTCATATTTTGAGAACTTCCACTCCCCTGCTACTTATTTTTCTTTATTCATAATTTATTAGATTTTTTTATTGTATTTTTATTTATATATTCTTATATACAATTAAGTTGTCCCAAAAAAAACTGAAGAAGTGTGTTGTTTCAGCTCATTTTAAATAAGTAGTTTAAACAAACCACAAACATTTTGTAGATGTTATTAATGTGAAGGAAAAGATTGTGAATGTAAATCTCAGTGTCATTTTAAAGGTATTAATGCCTTTCTGTTCAAACGTTGTTAATTAAGAAAAGATGCCGCCCGCCCAGGCGCCATATTATGATTTGGGACACATCCCGTTGTTTGGGTGAGAAGTGAAAACGCGAGCCAGCCCCCAAACTGACGTGTCTTGTGTGTGTTTTCCTGCAGCGGGTCAGTCAGATGTAGAGTGTCATCTAGTGCACTTCAGAGCTCGAGGATGATGGAGGACTACCCGCAGTTCCTGCTGTTCTTCATTCTGGCGTCGGTGGTCGGGATTGTGTCGATCGCGGTCGCTTTATCCTGGGTTTTACACTACAGAGAAGGGCTCGGATGGGACGGAGGAGCGGCTGAGTTTAACTGGCACCCGCTGTTGATGGTTATAGGCTTTATTTTTCTTCAAGGAATCGGTAAGGAGTTGAGTGTTTGCATCTGTTGAGACAGTCTGAGGTTTCACATTCCTGAGTGTGTAATCAGGATTTAAAGCAACAGGTCACGTTTATGACCCACACAATTACATTACAGTTTTCAAAACATTTAAATAACTTAAGTAGCCCACCTTAATGTGTCGTAACGTTGCTTTTCTCATGATTTTGGGTGTGTTTTGAAAACGGACAGTATAATGATTTAAACTTCGAACAAGTGCGTTTTTTCGCAACAATAAACAAAGCAAAATAAAACTAAACTCGCATGAGGTTACTTTTAACGGAACGTTAAAAACTTTTTAAATACATTGAACGTCATTAGAAAAATGTTCCTTGTTTTCTTTTGGGTAAATGTTAGACTTGAATGCTTTGAATGTTGTGTTTGATTGGCGTCTAAACGCAACTTGGCTAATATGGAGCCAGATCAGTCTCAAAAATAAAACATTTACAAAATAAAGTTCATACATGCACGCACAATTCACATTAACAAAATCCACTTTGAAATTTAAAACATTAGTTTACAGGCTACATAACACACAATTTGTAAATTCACCAGTTAAAAATCTAATATTGCCAATTGATTTGGATTTGTGTATTTACGAATTGTTTTTAATTTACGAATTGGATTTGCATATTTATGAATATGATTTGTGTATTTATGAATCATGTTTTGAGTTTACAAATTGGATTTGTGTATTTTTGAATCGTGTTTTGAATTAGCGAATTGTATTTTTGTAGTTGCGAATCGTGTTTTCATTTGACAAATTGGATTTGTGTATTTTGAAATCATGTTTTGACATTTGTGTATTTACGAATTGTGTTTTCATTTAACGAATTGGATTTGTGTATTTTGGAATCGTGTTTTGAGTTTACGAATTGCATTTGTGTATTTATGAATCGTGTTTTGAATTAACGAATTGCATTTGTGTTTTTACGAATTGTGTTTTCATTTGACGAATTGGATTTGTGTATTTTTTGAATCGTGTTTTGAATTTATGAATTGCATTTGTCTATTTATGAATCGTGTTTTGAATTCAGGAATTGCATTTGTGTATTTACAAATCGTGTTTTAATTTGCTGAATAGGATTTTTGTATTTTTTAATCGTGCTTTGAGATTTGTGTATTTACGAATCGTGTTTTCATTTGATAAATTGGATTTGTGTATTTTAAAATCGTGTTTTGAGTTTACGAATTGGATTTGTGCATTTACTAATCGTGTTTCCATTTGACGAATTTGGATTTGTCTATTTTTGAATTGTGTTAAGAATTTACGAATTTCTATTGTTTATTTTTGAATTGTGTTTTGACATTCCGAGTTGTATTTTTTGCATTTTACTAATTTTGTTTTGATTTGATGATTTGGATTAGCATATTTTTGAATTGTGCTTTGAATTTATGAACTGAAAATGTGCATTTCTGAATTGTGCTTAATTATTGGATTTTGAATTGTAGTTGTATTCATTTTATTTTGTGAATGTATTATTTTTTTGAGACTCTAATCTGGCTCAATTGCTAAAGCTAGGCTATATTTAGACTGTCAGTAAAAATCGAATAGACATAAAAAAATAACCCAAAACTAGACTTTTGCTGATGTGCACCGATTAGACAGACTTCACGTGTGTCGGTATTCATTCCTGTCTAATTGATGTGTAGTCTTGTTTTGGGCTTTTCTTAGAATTTTCCCCATCTGCCTATAGGTAGCCTTGTTTTAGGCCAGCCATCTATGTTTAGACGTCTATTTAACTTCTTTTAAACACAAAAATACTTGCGGGGATGTAAGGATGAAAAATTACATGTTTAGTGGACATCCAGCTAACGATGACAACATTATGATGTGTCAGTATGACCGCATAATATTGAACACTGTATTAATGTTACTGAAAGAACATTTAAAAAAACACTGAGAGAACATTTCCAGAATGTTAGCGAAAGATCTGAGAATGCTCTTGGCATTGAGGTAAAGTGGGTTTTATATTGGCACATTCGTTCAGTGACAGCTTGTGACGCGCTCCTATTTTGTTTACCATGGTACTATCACATGACCTCAAAACAACATCAGCACTGTTTAATTGACTGCAAACAATCTTGTATGTTGATAGTCATTGGCTGCTAATATGATTTCCCTACTTAGAATTTCCAAAGAATACTTACTATATTATTAAGGAGAAATGTTAGTTTCTTGGGACATGTTTGTATTCGAGTATTTAAAACGTCATCGCCCCCCTCATGGCATTTGAATGCTCTTCACGTCTTTTTTTTCTTCCTCCTCAGCAATTGTAGTGTACAGACTGCCATGGACCTGGAGGTGCAGCAAGCAGATGATGAAGTTGATCCACGCAGGGCTGCATATTCTCGCCTTCATCTTGGCTGTGATTTCTGTGGTGGCTGTGTTTGATTTCCACAATGCCAAAAACATTCCCAACATGTACAGTCTTCACAGCTGGGTTGGTCTGGCTGCTGTCGTACTGTATCCATCACAGGTATGAGTTCACGGACACTGGTGTACATCTACACAGGGTCGTAGCAGGTGCTGTAAGTGAAGTTTTAGTTCTTACAGAGGTAAACTGAATGTTTGGCAGATTTGTCTAAATCAGCGGTGAATGAAGTACACATTTAAAATGCTGCTTGTTTAAACTACTTATTTAAAATAAGCTGAAATGACACAATTCTTAAGGTTTTTTGGGAACAACTTAATTGTTTTATGTTCAGTCCACTTAAATTTGTTAAGTTATTTCAACTTAATCTATTTGTGGCCAATAACCTATCGGGCCAGTGGTTCAGGATTTTACTTTTAATTGTTAAATAATTTTTTTTTTTAATTTCAAACTTTGAATTTGACTTTATTTTATTTAAATGACTACACATTATGTAGTTGTTTCTTATACTGTGAACAGACATGTACTGTGTGCAAGTCTGTATGTAAATGTCTTAGGCTCTCTTATTGCATTTAAACAGCTGAAAAAGTTGACATGTAAATCGTATAAAATGAATGAAGCTGTTTTATTGATACTGACAACGTTCAAATGACTTTAAGGACAAAAGCATATTTTGTGAGAGTCAGTTTCAGTTTAAAATAATATGAGAATGGACAATCCCAAATGTTAAATCGTCTCAACGCCAAAACCCTACTGAAAAAAACTGCTTAAACCAGCCTAGGCTGGTTGGCTGGTTTTAGCTGGTCGACCAGGCCGGTTTTAGAGGGGTTTTGGTAACTTCCAGGCTGGTTTCCAGCCATTTACAGCCTGGTCTTAGCTGGTCAAGCTGAGAGGTGACCAGGTAAAACCAGCTTGACCAGCCTAGCCAGGATGGGAGCCCAGCCAAAACCAGCTATGTCTAGCTTAAACCAGGCTGGTCAAGCTGGTTTTAGCTGGATTTAGCTGGTCATTTTATAGCCAGACCAGCGAAAAAACCAGGCTGGAAATGGCCGAAACCCCTCTAAAACCAGGCTGGTCAACCAGCTAAAACCAGCCAACCAGCCTAGGCTGGTTTAAGCTAGTTTTTTTAGCAGGGAACCCATATTTTGAGATCTTGACAGTCATATATGTGTCCCACGCTGCTATAAACACTATAAGGACACGTATATTTCACACAAAAAAAAGAAAATTGGTTGTTTTTGCGTTATTTTCTGCAAATTCGTTGCAAAAACCTTGCGGTTTGAAACAAATTTTTGAAGTTGCGTCACTGCGATTAGATTCTTGCTTGTAATCCAGCGTGGAGAGGGGGATAAGTTTGTTAAAAAAAAAAAAAAAAAAGAGGCCATGCAAAAATGAAGACCCAGGTGGTTTTAATATTACAGAATATGTTTTTCCACTATTCATAGGTTTTACACTGATGTAGATATTACAATTTTGAATTTAAAACAATTTACAAGTTACAAACTAAAATTAAGTAACAATTATTTATTTGATAACTGGAAAAGAATATGTGAACCTATCAGTTTACAATATACCCAATTTATTGGCATTATTGGTTATAATGGTCAGGAATGTTTGACCATTATTGCCTTTTTAGCTTATAAGTGGAGGACAGAAACTAGCCGGAAAAAAAAAAAAAAACGTCAGTGTATTTTTAAGTGTCCTTTTTTTTATTATTCTTGCCATAATAAAAATATAATTGTAGAGCAACCCATGTTCTCATTTGTATTTAACTTTTAATCAGTAGAACTGTCCAAGATATGAACAAAAACAAGTGATGCTTCAAAGTTTGATTAAAAAAAATCTTGAATGATTATAAAAATCTTTATAATTAATTATAAAAAACAATTAGTTTACAAATCTTCAATGATATTAATGATATGACGAAGTTGTGGAAACGTTCTACTGCTCTGTTTATCCGTCTGATTTTACTGTCTGTTTCTTTTAACCGCCCCCTGTCATTAAGAGAATATCTCAATGGCGGTCAAGTATAAAAGCCTCGTCCGTTTCGTGAGGTGCGCGATGCGGCGCCAGGCGAAAGTATAAATCAGCCTTAAGATGTTTGTTAGCTTTTTTTCTGTAGTTCAATGGTGCATCTAACCTACCTTTAGTACTGTTCAATTTAAATACATTCATTTTACCACTAATTTAGTCATTTTTTTTTTCATTTTCTCTTTGTGTATGCGTGTTTTTCATATTGTGATATAGGTCTTAAATTTAATACCTAATAGTCTTCAAAAGGTCTTAAAGTCTTAAATTTGGCATTATGATATCTGCAGGCTTGAACCATGCAGATTTTTTTGTAAAATATAAACAGATCTTTCAATATAATGTTAACGTATATTTTTACTGTTTTGAGTTTTTACTGCAAATGTCACATCCATAACTCTGGAATTGCTCTGTTTAAGAATGGTTAAAAGACCCCTGCTAATCGTCTACATATGTATTGGTATTTCAGATGTGTGTGTGTGTGTGTGTTGCATGTGATCGGTTGTGATGTAGCTCTTCTTTCTGGTGATTCAGATAGTGTTGGGGATCGCTGTGTATCTGATACCCGTCACCCCAGTGCGTGTGCGTGCAGCTCTTATGCCTTTGCACATCTACAGCGGCCTCTTCATCTTCATCAGTGTCATCGCCGCAGCTCTCATGGGCATCACTGAGAAACTCATATTTAGCCTGTAAGTGCTGCTTCAGATTAAAAACACACACACAAATACACTTCCTGACCACAAATGTGTTGTCCGTCATGTGTTTCAGGAAAAGTCCTGCTTATAAAGACTCTCCTCCTGAAGCCGTGTTGGTGAATGTTCTCGGGCTGCTTATTGCTGCATTCGGTGCACTTGTTGTCTGGATTGCTACTCGCTCCGCTTGGAAGAGGCCAAGAGAGGAAACGGCGCAAACGTTGTCCAATAACACCACAAGCCCAGAGGAGATCAAAGTGGGCACTGATATGACCACAACAAGCTGAATCCAACTTCGAGATAAGCAGATGTATTGGAAAGCAGAAGAGTCTGCGGTGTAAAGTTTGTTGATGCCAGTTAAAGGGTTATTTCACTCAAAAATGTCAACTCTGTTATTAATTACTCACAATCATGACGTTCCAGTCTCCTTGAGCCCTTCATTCATCTCAGTGATGGGAAGTTCGGATCATTTTACTGACTCGGATCTTTGAGTCTCGTTCATCGAGATGAACGAATCTTTTTTCGAGTCATTTCGTTCAATTTGCCAAAATATTATTAAAATGTTACGAATTGCTTCCAAACACATCTAAAACTAGCCCAAAAGGTTGATCACACCACAAATATGTCATAACTAGAATACTATAAGAAGGAGAAAAATAATAGTTCGAAGTTTACCTGCTGTTTCGTCTATGAAGGTATTGTTGTCTCTTTGCTCAGCTCACCTCTTCATGTCTTCAAATCTCAGTGGTTCGTTCACGTTACACTGACAGTCACATATAATCTTAACCAATGTGCACAGTCTGAGCTGATAGGAGCCATGATGATTAGTTCACCTTTCACGTCTTCTGGTTCTTGAGTCGTTCGTTCATCACGTGACAGAATGACTCAAACCCGAGGACTCGAGACATGAACGGATCAATTCTTTTTCTGGCTCTAAACGCATATGATTGGCCCGTGATGAACGAATGACTCAGACCCGATAGAGGACTCGAGGGAGGAATGGATCAATTCTTTTTCCGGCTCTAAACGCATATGATTGGCTTCTGCCTTTCCGCAATGAACGACTCAAAAGAATTTAATAAACGATACAGATGTGCGCATATGCGGATGAACGAATCACTCCCTGAGAGGACTCGTAGATCCCGAGTCATATTAAAGATTTGTTCAAAATGAACGAGTCGTTCATGAACGACCTATTATTAGTTCATCTTCAAAACGCAAGTTAGGATATTTTAGATGAATTCAGAGAGCTCCCTCATCCTCCGTAGACCGCAACAATCCAAAAAAGAAACCAAAAACATTTCTCGTGATTTGTGTGGTTCATTTTTTTGTACGCAAATACTTTTTCTCTTCCACATTAGGTCAGGGTGGTTGATTATTTGGCAGTATGGCATATTGCCATTAAAACGAATCACTCATATTGCCTGTGGTAAAAGCACACCTTAAATAATGAATTAAAGAGTGAAATGCACCTGCCATATGATGAATATTAGATATACCTAGGCATAGCTAAATAATACAAGTTGTAGTACACTACCTGACAAATGTCTTGTCGCCTCTCTAAGTTTAAGGAACAGCAAATAATAACTTCTAGTTGATCATTTGGTATCAGAAGTGGCTTATATGAAAGGCAAAGGCCTGTAGATTACACTTGTTTGACCAAAATAAAACATGATCATGCCTTGATTTATAATTCTGACTCTGCTTAGACTAAAGTCTTGTCACTGAACAGAAATAATGTCCAGTATAGAATATAAAGTCCTGCTGCAGTGGAGACAGAATGAATATTGTGTCTGACTCCATCATGAGCTTGGAGGACTGCATCCATACATCTCTGACATGACTCAAATCACTGATAAATAAAGTCATCTGGAATGAAGAAGAAAGCATTCTTGCAGGACTCGCAGAGTTCATCAAGAGTCTTTGGATTCATCTTCAATGCCTCTTCCTTCATCCTACCCCAGACATGCTCAATAATGTTCATATCTGGTGACTGGGCTGGCCAATCTTGTAGCAGCTTGACCTTCTTTGCTTTCAGGAGCTTTGAAGTGAAGGCTGAAGTAGGAGAAGGAGCGCTATCCTGCTGGAGAATTTGCCCTCTTTTGTGGTTTGTAAGGTAATGGACAGCACAAACGTCTTGATACCTCAGGCTGTTGAAGTTGCAGATCTCACGCACGCCCCCATACTGAATGTAACCCCAAACCATGATTTTTCCTTCACCCGACGTGACTGATACCTGTGAGAATCTTGGGTCCATGCTGGTGCCAGTAGGTCTTCTGCAGTATTTGTGATGATTGGGATGCAGATCAACAGGTGATTCATCAGAAAAATTGACTCTGCCACTTTCCCAAATGATCAACTAGAAATTAAGTTATTATTTGTCCATCTTACAACTGGGATGGACGACAAGACTTTCAGTTACATGGAAACATGTATACCGTGAGCCTCAAACACCAGTTTCCATGTTCTCATGTAAATCCTGTGTGTAAAATTGGCTGCACCACCAGTTAGACTCTACTAAACAGGACTGCCGGTCTCGATATGAGCGAGTAGCACACACCTCAAGACGGCTCCTTAAAAAATCTTTGTCAGAACATCTTTTCAAAAATTGTGATTATTAATAAACTTATTGTCTCACATTCTAGAAACTATTAACCAACTTCAGGGTTTAATTTATCCAGTTTTCTAAATTTGACAACCAAATCTCAGAAAAGCCTGGACCCCAGGCCGTGAGTCTTCTAATGAGGAAGAAACGCCTGAAGAGGATGCTCCAGAGGCCGGCAGTTCAGTCATCCATAACGCGATATCTTTATTCCCTCAATCAAATCAGACAAGGAAACTATAGATTCCAACAATCAGATAAACATCATTGCATTTTCGGTTTATCACTACAGTCGTTTTTAGGTAAGAACTTAATATAAACAAAAAGAAATAAAATCTTGGATTTGTTCGGAAAAGATCAGATTTATAGTGTAAATGCAGTCTTTAATGTGTGAACCAAAAAACCTCTTTCAAATGAGACATTTCTCAAAACATCCTAATTTTTTATGGCGAACTCGCTTTAATTTGATCTCAGAGCAAACCAAAAAATCTCAAAAACATGTTAAAAGTTGAAGTTTGACTGAAATCTCTGCTGTCGATGGGCATTTCAAGCGGACGGCTCTATTTGCGCTGTAATCTCTGCTGTCTATACGAATATAGAAATGCATGAACCGTCCCTCAGTGCTGCTTTTTAAGATTACGATTTTGTAGATTTTTGTATTTGCACTATATTAATATTCAACACTGTTTACCTTAGGCTCAGTTAAAGTGTATTGCCTTTTTAGTCACAACTCGCTGTATATGTATATATCTATATATATATATATCTATTGAGATGGCTTTATTCTCTTATAGTATTGATGGGATGTAGAACGTACTGTAACATTTCTGTGAAAACATATCAAAACCAAGATTTGTATTAATATCGAAACTATTTAACATCTGATGAATGATTGTTTTATTAATGACTCAAAATCATTAAATATGTCAGCATATTTGTTTACTTTTGTTTTCTTCTTCTAAAGGTAGAAACAATACAACCGTTTAGAAAGCCAAATTAATGGATTGAATAATTATTCATTCATTCATTTTCTTTTCGGCTTAGTCCCTTTATTAATCTGGGGTCGCCACAGTGGAATGAACCACCAACTAATGTTTCCAGCAATCATACACGCTCATTCACTACGAACAATTTAGCCTACCCAATTCACCTATAGCTGATGTGTTTGGACTGTGGGGGAAACCAGAACTCCCGAAGGAAACTCACGTAAACACAGGGAGAACATGCAAACTCCACACAGAAATGCCAACTGACCCAGCCGAGGCTCGAACCAGCGACCTTCTTGCTCAGGCAACAGCACTACCTAATGCATCACCAAGTGTGATTATAAAAAATAAAATGTATACAATTTTACCAATAGAAGTTACATTCACAGGCTGCTGCAACACAACTGTGTTTCAGCCACTTACAAATGTGATTTTTGCATAATAGATCCCCTTTCAGTTGCATGTGTAAGTCAAAATTATAATTTCTTTTTAATGCAAAAAAAAACAACAACATTAGAATATTAAGTAAATTAAGTAACTATCATGTTCCATGGAGACATTTTGTATTTTTCCCACCAGAAATATATTAAAGCTCTACATAACGTATATTGCTAAGAGCTTAAATTGGACCATTTTTAATCGATTTTCGATGTATTTGTGTTTTCTTTTTTAACCTTCTGATTTTAAACAGTTGTTTCTCGGCCAAATAATGTCATCAACAGAAATCATATTTATTCACATGATGTATGAATCTCAAGTTCATTCACTTTCTTTTCGGCTTAGTCTCTTTATTAATCTGGGGTTGCCACAGTGGAATGAACCCCCAATTTATCCAGCAGGTTTTACGCAGCGGATGCCCTTCCAGCTGCAACCCATCTCTGGGAAACATTCATACACACTCATTCACACTCATACACTACAGGTACCCAATTCACCTGTACCGCATGTCTTTGAACAGAGGGGGAAACCGGAGCACCTGGAGGAAACCCAAGTGAACGTGAGGAGAACATGCAAACTCCACACAGAAACATCAACTGAGCCAGCCAAGGCTGGAACCAGCTACCTTCATGCTGTGAGGCGACAGCACTACCTACTGTGCGTCTCCCTGAATCTCAAGTTTTCTCACCATTTTTTTCAGTAGTAATTCATTGACTGGTTTATTGTCTTCTTTCCCTCCAGCGTTTCAGCTGACCTCAAAACATGAAATCTGATTTTACAGTTTAAAAAAAAGACATGAAAAATAATCTTTGGGCAGTTCATGCACAGTAGACGTCTTAGTATAAAATTACAAGAAAAAATACAAATAAATAAACTGCACTGTGAAATATTTACAATCAAGACAATATAGTCCTGGCAAATCTCATGCGTCCTCCAAAAATATACAAACACTTTTGAAGGGGTGCGAAACGTAAAATATCCAGAGGTCACCAGTCAGTCTTTAGCCATCCAGAAACACAAGGACGTGTAAAGGCATCTTGAGTAACACATTTGACTTGTTCAACAGCGGGTTGAACTTCCTCCGTTCAAAACTACACAAGTCCAAATTGTCTGCAGCAGACGCCAACAGTCCAGCCTGATCTAACGAGGAAACGCAAGTATTTTACGTTATTTCACTTTAGTGGCTAATTCATATGAAATCGTCCAATTTCAGTCTTACAATAATGTACGATTTTTAAAAGGAGGCGTGGCACCAAATCCCGCCCCTGAACCCAACCATCACTGAGTAAATCATACTAAAATGTACGAATATGATCGTACGAATTCCTACGAATTAGCCACTAAATCACAAAGTT